ATCCATTCTTACCGACAAAGACTGACACATAGAAGTTCTTACATTGAACAGCAGTTTCGCAATTCGCTCTCTCATGTTGACATTTCGCGAGCTTGCTTATTTGTTACAGACGCTGTGTGAGAGATTTTTTTCAATTACTTTTACCACCCATAAGCCTGTATCAGACTACGGAGTGGGGATTGAGATTAAATTGAATTTAGCCAATCAGTGTAAAGTTAACTCAAGTTTAGTGAAATTTGGTGAATTCTACACTGATTAGTCAAATTTCAATTCAATCTCAATCNCCATAGTCTGATAAGGGCTTTACGCTTTAGTGATCCATCGTGAAACAGCTGGTCGCGTGCTTCTACGGGGAGAATTACTAGATTCATTTAATTCGAAAAAAACGATCCAATCCCGTGCCGCAGTTCAAACTCTGCTATAACTCCCTGCAGCCGCCACTAGCCGGGACGTAACACAAGCAAGCAATCCAACACGAAAACAAGCATCGTGTGCCGCTGGCTTTAAGCGAAATTCTTCGATATCGCAGTCGATGTTGAAAAATTGATTTACCGACGGGCGCTAATCGACGATTTGACTCGAATCGTCTTCATAGATTGTATCGATACAAATTGTGCCAGTGTGGAACCTTTTCCTTCTATGAGTGATGAACCAATCTATTAACCAGTGTCTGTAATTTTGTAAGTGCTTATTGTTTCAGCGTTTTAATGCGTCGATCCCTCAAATAGTAGTAAGCTGCATATACGAACGCTGCTGAAATAACCCCGACTTTTTTCTCGGTGAAACGCACTCGATACTCGAATGACACGCTGAGGTTAGGTTGTTGGTTATGAGTTTGTTCCGTCAAAACGTTTAATGATGTCTTATAGTCGTAATAACAAGAGCGCATATTAAGAAACATTTATGTCACAATGAATAATCAGTAATTAATTAATAATTACCCATAAAAAACGTCACTATTATTCTCATATTTTCGTTCATTCTTGTGTTTGACTAAACTCTTAGCGCAAAAACAATTATTTGTATCTACGCATTGCTGTTGGCAGAATTACCAAATTAACTTTTTCTTGTAAGAATAACAGTCACTAAATATGGATCATTTGTTTCAGGAAATTAATAAGGAAAGGCAATGGGTACAACACCGAGTCGCTATGAAGAACTCTCCAAAAATGTGCACTTGGAGAAATTTTGTGGAAAGCAGCGCATACTCTTAACTGATCCATTTTGGGAGACATTTCTGTCTTATAATATGCGTCCACCTATCACCAGGAATGATCAAATAGAACTTGACTCTCGTTTGGATATATCATGTCAGCAGTTACTCGTTAATAATTTGACTACTGGCAACTTTGGTATTTTGATTCAGTTTGCTCTTATGCGCATTAATGATTTGCTTGCTCCTGTTCATAATCAAAAGTAAGTTTTAGCTGTTTTATCATAACAAGTTGTAGTCATATGATTAAACACATATATATATATGTGTGTATATTTATGTATATATATATATATATATATTAGAAACATAGTCTTTTATTGTGCACCTCAGTTTATAGTGTATTTTTGACTGTACATCAATTGTCTTTTTCTCTCCAGTATAATATCGGCGTGGCAAACGTACAACGTATTATTTGCTGTACGATGCATTTTAAAGTATTTAGTCGAGACAGTCGGTGAAGAACAAATGCTGATCCATATCGAAGCGCCACAAAATGTTACAATGAATGAACAATCGATGATGTCTTCCGATAGACTGGAAGAATTTTTCGAAACTTTGATAGAACTCATTACGGATGTACCTTTATGGTGAGTGACATACCATACATATTTATATCCTATGACATGTGACATATGTATGTACGTTTGCTTTTACAGTGAATTTACGTACATCGTTCACTTGGAAGCAATTAATTGTTTACTCGTGTTACTCTCGGTGCAGCTATTTTCCCAAACTGCAGCCGAATATAGCGCTGTATATAGGATAGCAATGCATGCGCATTCGAGTACCTGCAGTCAACATGCACCAGCTGTGGTGTGCACATTGTTGCACAATTTCATTCAACAAGAACACGCTCCTCCGGGATTGCTGACGCAACAACCCGGTGGTGGCATTGTATTCAGTATTGCTGGTAAATGCGACAATAAGACGCGAGTCTCTTTTAAGGCGTTAACGCATAAATCTCACTGGTTTTCAGCTGGTTTGTGGAACGTCATAAGAATGGGTATGGGCAGTGGTTCGAAGAATATACAGATTGCACATAATGGCGCTACCGAGGACGAAGAGAAGAAGCGGGATACAGAAACTCCGCTCGCTAGTCAATCCTTGCTGTTACTATTGGTTCTGACGAATCATTGTACTTCTATGGAAAATCCATACAGAAACGCACTTTTTTCTTTTATAGATATGCAAGGCGAGTATCATGCTGATTAATTAGTTTTCAGATGCGGATCGTTTTCAGAAAGAGAGAAATATTCTCGCAGAAACGTCGAGACGTAGCTTACAATTTATCGTTTAATGCCCATACATTTTATCCGAGAGACGTTTTGTGAACGTCTTTAACACGTAAAAACGTATTCAGGACGTTTTTAGGACATCTTTGCTATATGGGTAATAACGAGTGTTTCTCTGTTTCCACAGAAGATTATAATATGACGCAAACGAAAAGAGCTGATGCCTTCAAGTTTAATCTGAATAAAATGTACAATACTATTTGTAAGATACCAAATACGGACGAAGTCACGCTCTTACTCTATATGCTGTTACATAGAAACTCAAGTGTGAAACAGGACATAATGAGAAGACCCGACATACAATTATTGGTGGGTAATCGCCGAGTTCTTTTTTTACGATTGATTGTACGAATATCGTATATTTGCGAGTGTCTCGCATTAACATTACGTTTCATTCACATATTCAGGTAACGCCGATATTGCAAATTCTGTACCATGCTCCAAATAACACATCGCATCATATTTACATGTCTCTTATCATCCTCCTGATTTTAAGCGAAGATGAAACATTCAACAAACGGATACATGAAATTGTAAGTGAAATTGTGGGGGTCTCGTGACTATTCGGTCGCACGTTCCAACATTATAGTGAATAATTTTCCGTTTTGCTTTTTGCCTTAAGATGCTCAAGGGTGTCACATGGTACACCGAGAGATCTATAAGTGAAATATCACTAGGTGGTCTCTTGATCCTCGTCGTTATTCGCACAATACAGTATAACATGTTTAAAATGAGAGTAAGTAGCACACCGGTTATATATAATGTGGTATATGTAATGCGTATGTTAATTTAGAAACACATACCGAATAAAATTTGAAATTATTTCTTTCTCTTTTTTTTTTTTTCTTATCAGGACAAATATCTCCATACAAACTGTCTAGCAGCCTTGGCGAACATGTCTGCCCAATTCACGTCGCTGCACCCTTATGTCAGTCAAAGATTGCTGAGTCTGTTTGAAACGCTTGCTAAGAAGCATGCGCGATTAGAAGCAAAAATTCGAACGCAGCCGGCAATTTCCACCGACAGCAGCAGCACCGTTGTAACTGTTAATGGAGCTGTCGCAAACACAGATTTGGTAATTATACATGAAATCATCGCAATTTCGATGCAACGCGCGCGCGTGCACATATATATGCATACACACGTAGTCATTGTGTGAAACATTCCAGATTCAAGACCTGACCATATTAGAAGAAGTCTTACGGATGGTGTTGGAAATTATCAACAGCTGTCTAACCCATAGACTCGCGCATAATCCTAATTTAATTTATACCCTTCTGTACAAGAAAGACGTCTTTCAACCATTCAGGACGCATTCCGCTTTTCAAGATATCGTGCAAAATATCGATTCTGTAAGTTGCGTTCGATCCGATGCGGACGACACTTCCGTAACGTGTCGCAATTTTGATTGACGCGTGAAATGATTTTTAGGTAATAAACTTCTTCTCTTATAAATTGGAGCAAAAGGATCAATCGCAACTCGGCGTTAGTCAGGTATTAGCCACTATACAGCAAGGAACTTTGGAGTGGCCACGAGATCGCTTGAGAGTATGTAAAAATCGTTCATTTGCCCTGAATCATGAAAAATCAACAGTGCGATGACATTAATACTGCCGTATATGCTTTTTTTCTGTTGCATAGAAATTTCCAGAATTAAAGTTCAAATATGTGGAAGAAGAACAACCGGAAGAATTCTTCATTCCTTATGTATGGAGCGTCGTTTGTCAAGGAGCGTTATTACATTGGAGTGCAGAAAATATAAAATTGTTTTCCCCTAACAATGGCGAGACAACGATTATTGTTTGCTGATACTGAGACGAAGGGTGCGCTGTGCTGTAACAAGTATTGCTGAGCGATAATGTGTTTGAGATGATACGATTTGTCGGATATGTTAAAGTATAAGTTACATCATCTTTTTGATGCGAGAAGATATGGGAATTTTCACAACACGACTAAAACAACGTGAGAATCGTCAACGTATACGGCATATGCACAAGGAGAATATTTAACAACCAATGTGATATTTCACACAAAGTTCTGCGTTCCCACCCGAGTGCACTCGAGAGTATAATTCGTAATACTATACTCTTGGATGCTGGGTGGCGCCTCAAGATGAATATCGTCACACAGAAAGATCGCTGTAATCTGAATATTCAAAACGACCATATCATCCAATCTTTTGTGTTATTACTATTTTAATATTTATTATGAAAATATGACAGAGAGAAAGAGAGAGAGAGAGAGAGAATGAAACATGTGAAAATATTTATGTTTATTATAAAGGAAGGAACCTTTTCACCTTCCATTTTTCCATTCATGTTATATACTTTGTTCGATAAGATGGATGGATGAAGGTATGACTCGTTGTATAAAAGATAATACATCACACGATAGAGATAATATTATGCCAATGAGAGTGTGCGATTCATCGACGGGACAGGAGTATTATTGTAACATTTTCCATTGCGAACGCTATCATATAAGGAACGATAGAAAATATTAATCGATTCGATCGAATCGAATTAATCAATTCTCTATTAATGTACACATGAACAATTACAATGTTCGTAAGTGTTACGCAATTTACAAACGTCTGCGTAACTTTGATGTTACAACCGTTTCTTTTAGGACTTTTAGAGGGTCTTCTCTCTCTGTATACACAATGTAATCCTTTGACTAGATATATATATATATATATATATATACTGTTATATATATATATGTATGTATGTATGTATACTGTTTCGACGTATCGCATATATAGAGAGAGGAGAATATATCGCGAGTCTAATTTCTCTCATAATAGCCTAATCGCAATTCCATATGTATCGCGTTTTTGCAAACGCACCACTGTTTGTAAATAACTGTCGAGGTAGGAATTATAGAAAAAATTTCCATCAGTCTGATTACAGACTTTGCAACATAAGCATGATGTATAGCCCCGCAATTTCTCGCGCGCTGTATGTATATGTGCAAATATTATTTCTATTTAATATATATCAAAAAGAAAATAAAAATACACTTCTCTGTAAGTTACTCTGATACTTTCTGATCTATGTATCCCACTTTCACTTGACATGATTTACAAAACGGAGACTGATATAAGGAAAGAGAATAATAATAATTCACCGACCGCACATTCTCAACCAACGAGCCAGTTATACAACGCACAAAATATCGCGCGCACAACTGGCGCCAATCACCTCTATGATATGATTATATATAACATAATCATCGAGACTGAACGACTCGTCGGCTAAATCTGAATGGTCGATTTGCTCGAATCTCCAATGTACATCTTTATTAAACAAATACAGTTGACGTCTTAATGTTACTTATAATGTCGTAGATGTTATAGATAATATTTCATTTTCCTAGCCTGTGCAGCGTGTATATGCGGCCGCGCGTGATCTTGTATTGTGTACGTGTGTATAATTATCATACTATTGCTAATATTTCAGTTTTGTTGAACAATCTTTCAGTTTGCAGAGTAACAAGGTAATTTGACATTTCTGTGCGTCGCGGTGCAGACGCGCCGAGTAACTCAGTGTGTCACGTTAAATTTCAGACTCGTTCGAGTCATTGGGCTTGAAACGTGTGTGTGCTTAGCATACAGATAGTACAATATGTCTTTTTTTTTGTTATTTATCCATAATAATTTGATTCCTTAACTGTACTATATTGTTACTTAATCTTATTAGTTAACACACAATCAATCGGGAGGGAATTTAGTCGGCACGTAATATATTATTTCATTACGGCCTAGCGCTAATCAGTAGTTGAATATTTCATTCGCCGTGCAATTTACCGCTCGCCTTTTCGCCAGAATCACGCATGCAATTGTTTTTTTATTAGGGCAATGCACATGTAATTGGAAATAATAACGACACCCTATGCAATGAACGCTCGTAAAACTCGTTCGAACGTGGTACCTTGTGTGTGTGTGTGTTACATTCTTCTATATTGTGTATAATGTTATACCTTACGTTATATATACTGGGTAATCTTTTTTTCATCCTTACCATGCTTTAAGCATTCAATCTTTGAATTTCACTATGATATTCGTATAAATAAATCGATCGATACGCTGAGTTACGTTAACAAATTCTATCGTTATAGAAATTTATCGATACAACCGATTAACTCAACTTTATGACATTACCAAGTATCGTGCTTTCACAACAAGATATATATATTTGTCGAATTTCGAAGAATGAATATTGATTTTCTACATTTCTACTAATTCGGCCCGTTAAAAAGGCAATCGAGCGAATGCTACGAGCGTTTGCTTCATGAAGCGTTACAATTTCTCAAATTACACACGCACGCAATTACGCACGCACGGTTTGCTGTCGTCGAATGCGTAAGAATGTGTGTGTGTGTGTGTGTGTACACGCGCATGTTCTGTGTGTATGAGCACGTGTATATAATGTGAAAATCTATACGCATTGATAACGGGCGTGTAATAGTCGTCGAGCAGACGATGCCTTTTTGCAAAAATTTAAAAATTTTAATTTGCGTGTTATACTATTTAACTTACGACACATTTCCGCGAGCTCTAGCGTTCTTCATCAAATTTAAAATATTTCTCTGACCGTTAGGCAAATGGTGTGTGTGTGTGTGTGTGTGTGTGGTTCGCGCGCGCGCGCGCGCGCATGTAAGTGAGACGAGGGTGAGGAAGAGAAATATATATATTTATATACGTAACATACATACACGAGGGTACCTGTGCATATATATACGTACACGCTAGCTGCCTACAAAATACAATAGTACATTACAAATTCATACTGTCCTTTTTCTCTCTCTCTTCCTTCTTTTCCCTTATATCACTTGCAAACAGCTCATATTTTGTATGTATGTGTGTGTGTGTGTGTGTGTGTGTGTGTGTGTGTGTGTGTGTGTGTGTGTGTGTGTGTGTNATATATATATTATATATTATAGTATCATCTAGTTGGTTTGCATAGTTCTTTCCTTTCCCATTAATTAGTAATTAAGTACCTCTTTAGAACAAGTGCCACCCGATTACGTCTTATTATTTCTCAATTATCGGTCGACAGAGATTTTTTCACAATTTCTGTGTCACGATACGATAGCGAAGAAATATTCGCGTCAAGAGAACACTCTCCTTATTTTACATCATTTAAACATGTTGACACGTTTCATCGAGATATTTTCAATTCCAAACCATGATATCGTTTACTCGCGACCGAATAATTTTCTGATATCAAAATAAGCGTGAAAACGAAAGAGATGGCTATCAATTGTTGATGGCTATCAATTGTTGATCAATTGGGATCTTCTAGTAGTCGAGTTGTTTTCTACGAGATCCGTTGCGCTATCTTAATGTGCTCAACTTTAGCGCGCTCTCCCAACCCCTTTTTGTTCAACATCCGACATCGCGTTGGGTACTTACAAAAAAAGATGGGTAGGTAAGTAGATACGTCACAATGTCGCATATATCATTAAACGTCACGATATCAGGCAACGATCCAACAAATACTCACATATCTCACGAATTGCACGATTCATCACCTCGTGTGTGCTCACGCGCGAATGCTTATACTCGAAGAATAAGCGTACAAACGCGTGTGTACATCGACGTAAGCTAATTTAGACACACTGGCCAGATCCTTCGTTCGATCCAACTACTACCGAATTTCACGCCTCATTCAAGTCATTCTCTTGATTGATCGATCTACTACCTTCACTCTGCTGTGCTGCACGACGCTTATAAAATACGAGATTACAAGATTTAAATACAAGATTTGCTTTGCAATATAAATTTAGCGTCGGAGAAAACGCTACAGAGAAAAATGGTACAAAAGCAAGCGATATCAAGTGTATATTGATGTATTATATGATGGTGTCGAACGAATGATCGCCTCCCTCTATGTGTGCCTTTTCCTTACAAGGTTATATATAGTGTTGTCAACCTCTGTGTGATTCTTCGCGGACGATCAAAGCGTTTGTTTTTTCACGCGGGTCGGAGAAATAGATAAAAAGTATGTATATCGTTACAACGGTTTTCTTTCGAACGAAAGTAATTGAAGGAAAATAATAAGGAAATCATTTCTCGAGAATCGATGTGGGAAAAATTTTGCCCACTGTGGCGCAAGTAGTTTCGCGAGAGAGCACGGATGGTCATACGATGGTCATCGTTGACGAAAAGTTTCCGTTTCCGACAGACACCTTATAAAAATGATATGATATGCTCATTGAAAAAATAAATTTATAGTTTCCTATGAATATTATAGATATCCGTACGCAAGAGCTCTCGGTACTAAAGTGCCTCCGCCGAATAAACGGTCGGATTCGGTATAATTCTAGATACGCAGGACATACAGCAGCAGACATACAGCAGGCAGGCAGTCAGACACGCGCGCACACACACACACACACATCCACACGCACGCACGCATACACGCACACACACGAGGATCCGTTCATTACTTCGCGGCGAGTGACAGCGAATGCGCGCAGTTGTCGTGTCACCATTTCACGAGAGAGAGTGAGTGAAAGAGGAAGGAAGGGAGGGAGGAAAGAAGGGATGAAGGGAGAGAGAATGAGTGAGCGTGAATGACACCCTCCTAAGGGATCATTGCACGTATGTGACGAGCGCTTTTCCGACGACGAAGCTAGGCATCGACAGGCATTGTCGAGCAGGCTCGCGTGACAGCTTTCGTGTATCCCGCGACATTGCCCGATCGATTCTCAACTTCTAAAGCTGCTAACGGTTGATATCTATGATACATGTCTTGAATTGAACTTTTTGCAATAGAGAGCGCGCGCAACGTATCAAACGGCGTAAACGATGCTTCGAAATAGATTGTCATTCAACAGACATCACCGTATGTTTCGTTTGCAGTACGCTATTGCAAAAAGTTTCTAATAACGATACAGAGCCTGTTTAGCTCGATGTCGAGGTTAACGGGAAACGACGAAAACCGCAGCCTGTGAGAAATTCGCTATTAAAATATATGCATACGAGTGACGGGAATGCAACATACTACAGCTTAAAAGGCACGTAAAAATCAGTTTCTCCGTGAAAAGAGCGATTTACATACAGGGGGAAACAGAGGAGAAGCGCGCGATCCATCCACTGCGCACATATTGGGCATATACTTAGAATATAATAATCGCCACTACTCGAGACTCTCACCACGAAATAACGAATGGACGATATTGTATATATGCGTACGTAGAGCACATGTGTAGCGCGCACATATAACCGCGTAATATGCGCGATACCTATCGTTAATCTGCGCAAATATTTGTGGAGAATCGACGACAAATATCCCCATCGTTCATGTTTCGCATGCCGAATTGTTGGAAAAAAGAAATGCTCCTTTGTCAAATATTTCATTTTCAGTAAGAGCTTATTAACGACCGCTGATAGCGGCCGATTGCATCGCACGCATGCACGCACGCACACATATATACGGATATAACGCTACACCGGTGCTATATTACTGTTTCAACGATGAAGCGCTATCGTAAGCGATGATGCGACGTAGCAATGTCCACATCATCCTGCTATCCTTTTATTTTCTGCAGATTCATCGTGAAGGAACATTGTGCATAAAACGATCCGAGTAAAAAACAAAATTGGAAATATGAGCTAGTGTCTTAAATCTCCAGATTCGCGACAATAGCTTTCGCGACTCGATGTATTTGACACGCTACGCGCGCGTTCTGCCGGCACTGGTCAACGCCGGGGTATGTATTGGCTCGAGTGTTTTTCATACGAAAGACACGATTATTGCGACAGAATATATTTATGAAATCAAATGTGTGTGGGTAAAAGTTCAATCGAAAACAAGGAAGAGATTGATTCGTGTCGTATTTAAAACTACGTTTTACCATCCTACTTAACAATAAAACGTAAAACTAATTATTATTGCGATAAAGTGGTGAATAATAGTCGTAGTAGCATTTCGATCAAAATAGCGTTAATTATAGAATAGCGATAGAAAGGCGGATAAATAGTTAAAAGTATAAAAAGAAAAAAATAAGAGAAGGGAGAAAGAAAAAGAGAGTTTCCTATTATACTACTAGTGGTGTGTGTGTGTGTGTGTGTTGTGTGTGTGTGTGCGTGCGTGCGTGTGTGTGTATGTGTGTGTGTGTCAAAAGTATAAATTAACAACTACCGTAAATAGATATCTCCGGCGAGAAGCACTTCCCGGCGAAGCTTAAGTATCCCTTGCGTATATCCGATTCTACTAAACATCAACGCGACGTATTCGTAGGTAGAAAGATTGCAACTATTCGATAAAGCATCCCGCACTCTGTGTTACAGGCTCTTCTGGCGGCGCTCAAGACGAGTACTAACTGAATGCCGTTGTTGTTACTCGATCGTTGTGTACCGACATCGTACATCTACAGATGAGGGAACGGATGTAAATATAATAACGCACGCTTTCCCTCTCTCTCTCTCTCTCTCTCTCTCTCTCTCTCTCGCTCTTTCTCTTTCTCACGCAGTAAACGAAATAGTTGTTGAGAGAATCGAGAAGGCGATCGAGCGAGCAGTGTTCGGAGCAGCTTAAAATTTTATTACTCTATCAAGATTCGAGAACGCTGTAAATTTTCTAATCTCTCTCTCTCTCTCTCTCTCTCTCTCTCTCTCTCTCTCTCTCTTAATGACGTCAATCCAGCACGATAGTCGAGATGCGCGCGACAGATTTGAGTTTTCGCGGACGCTCGCGGACCGCTTTCCGCGGGATCGTTCGAAACGGAATCACGTTCGCCGATGAGATGATCGGTCGTATGGATAAATTTTGCAAAAAGAAGAAGCAGCACGAGCCAGTACTCCTCTCAACGCCACGTCAAGAAAGAGGGGCGAATGCAGCAACGCGAGGATCAAAAGCAACTTAAACATCGCGATGATCCCATTCCAAATCGTGCGGCGAATTGTGGCGACGGTGCCGGCCATTGCTGAGTTCGCAATCATTTTCGCAGTCGGAACTGTCGAGGTCGTCGTCTCTGAACGAGCCGTCCTCGGAGTCGGAACTGCCAGAGTCGTCGACGTCCTCGTCTCTCTCTCGACTCTGATGATGCTGGTCGGCCGTCAGCCTGTCCATCGGGTTCACGGTGATGGCGAGGGCCGAGTCGTCCCACGCCATCTCCGTTTCAGCGGCGAGCTCATCACCGGCGGATCGTCGTCGTTTAGCCGCTCCGCGAACCCGCGCAGCACCCACCACTCCCATCAGCAGCAGGAAGCCCATGCAGGCGGCGACGACGATGGTTACGGCGTGGCTGCGGCCGGCACCGCCGCCGATGGTCTTGCCGCCCTCGCGAAGCGCGGTGGTAGCGTACTCGTCCGTCAGATCGGCGTGATGCGGCGAGAGCTGCGCGTGACCCGGCGCCGGCTCGACGATTCTCGCAATGGGCGGTTGTTCTCCTTCGGGCGTTGTGTGCGGCGGAACAGTAGTCTTCTCCTTGGGATGAATCACAGCCAACGTTTGCACGTACTCGTTGCTGGCGAAACGGCCGCTCAACTCGGAACAGGTCAGCTTGAAAACGCGATCGAGATAGTAAGCCGGTTTGCGATTCGTGTACATGATGAGGCGAATGAGCTGCTGATAATTGTAAGGCGAATCCGCGCCCGAAAGGACGACGCCGTCGCGGTCGACGCGAGCGGAGATATCGTGGAAGGCTAGCAAGGCGTCGCCGGGTAATCCCAGGCTCTCGTGATCGGGATTGAGGCTCGGATAAACGCTAACGGCGCAGGCGTCCAGTCTGGCGGCCGAACCAGCGGTGACGCGCGCGTCCGGGAACACGCGAACACCCAGCCGGAAATCGGCGTACTCTCTGGCGACGTAGCCGGTACCGTTGACGGTGATACCCGGCCGAGGAGGTGGCAATACGGTGACGTATGACTGTACGGTCGGTACCGGCAGAGGCGTGCTCTCGCTACCCTCGCAGACGATCGTAGTGTCGAGACGGAAATTGCGACGGCCAGGTGTCGGGAATCGCCGAGAATTGGAGTAGCCGATGCGACGCAACAGGGTCTCGACGTTGGTACGATTGTCACCGTCGATACGCACTTCGGTCAGGTCAGAGTTGGTCAGCAGTTGGGTTCCTGGTTGCAGCAGGTCCATAGGCGGCACGTGAATACCCTCTTGGCAACGTCGCAGGCACGACAACACTTCCGGCTTCTCGTTGCGACCGACTAGGACGGAGAGGCCGGCAAGGTAGCCGCGGAAATGGTGTTTAGTCTTGTTCTCGGAGCCCTGCCAACATGCACCGACCACCAGGGTAGTGTTGACACCCTTGGCCGGGTGCAGAGGCCAATCGTCGATAACCTCGGGGTTCTTCTCGTCAGCGCGCCACTCCTCGCCGTCGACGTATAAACTGACATGCGGAAAGTCAACCTGGATCGCGTAGTGATGCCATTTGTCATCGCACACCTGACCGAGTTTCCAACGCCACTCGGCCGCGCGGAAAATGTTGGGGTCGCCTTCGGAGAAGTCGCGTCGCAGGAGCAGAATCAATCTGCAGTTCCTTATGAACAAGGCGTAGTGGTGTCTATTCATCTCTGTAATTGAAACGTGACGTTATTAGTTGCATCTTCTTCGACGTCTAATAGACGAATGTCATTCCTACGATAAATGTGGAGAGCAGGAGGGAGCGAAAAAAAAGAAAGAGACTCACCCGCATCGTCGTTGAGAACGGAAAGATTTTAGACCGGTGGGATGTATAACTCTGCGAGAGCGAGCCGTATAAGCGCGACCTGATTTCTTGCCAAAATTCATTCCGTGGAAGGATTAAGCCGCTTTGTTCGAAACTTGACGATAATACCTCCCGAGCGAACGTGTATATCATAACGCCTGAGCGCGCGCACTTTCAACGGCGCAATGTATTCCCCGCTAACAATATCGTCCAATGTTTGAACGTCGAAACTTATCGAAAGCGTCTCTCTCTCTCTCTCTCTCTTTCTTTCTCTCCTAGGTATTGAGCAGTCTCTGCAACCACGTTATATGCGACGTGTCGCGCAAAGGAAATCGTAAGAAACTTACTGTGATCATCGGCGGCGCAGAGTATATGCTCCTTGACATGCGGATCCTGTCGCGGACGCGGCCGATGCTTCACCCAGACGCCGATGGTGAATTTCTGCGCCAGGCTATGCTCCAGCACGTCATTCGGCACGATCGCGGCCGAGTCGACGCCGTCAAATTCGAAGATCTCATCGGCCTCTCTACCCTCGTCTCTGGACAGGGACGCCGTCCAGGACGTTGTAGGTCCGGGTGTAGGTAGCAAATCCACGCTGTCTCGCGACGCGCCGCACAATTTGCGCTGACTGCGAACGCCGTACGTGTCGCGATCGCAACCTTTGCCGATGTGATCGGTAACAAGGGTCAGCGTGGCGCGCACGTTGCGCAGAATACAGGGCGCATCGCAGAGATCGAGTCGTGCCGATGGTAGCAAAGGCTGCGAACCAACGCCGGCGGCGTAGTCGACTCTCTCGGGAATGCCTCGCCATCCGGGAGCGCACACACGGTTCACCTTGACCGTCACCATCGCCGGCGCGGATTGCTTCATGCCGCAATCGTACGCGACCACGCTAAGAATGTAGTTGTGCGATCGCTCATAATCCAGGGGCTCGGTGTTCCGAATGGCGCCCTCGTTGTCGATGATGAACGGCTGGTCGGCGGTAAGGATCTCATACTTGCAGACGTCGCCGAATTTCGGTGTGCAATCCCGGTCGGAGGCTTCGACGCGGACAACCTCTTCGTAGAGACGTCCCTCGTCCACCGTGCTGACATACGCTGGCTGGAGGAACTGCGGCGCGTACTCGTTGACGTCGACCACGGTAATATGAACCGTTGCGCTGGAATGAAATTTGAGTTTGTGTGTGTGTGTGTGTGTGTATCAATTGCGCGGAGGAGCGTGTGGATATGCGCGCCGAGTCCTTCGAATTCCTTCGTATCACCGCTGCCATTCTATTAGAAAACACTCGCTCACCTTAACAATAAATAAGCTCGGACGGAGAGACCTTGCAAAATTTTTTTTTCAATATCGCGTAAAACGGCCATCTGACATGTAAGAAAAAAAAAAACTTGCTCGCTGTGTTATTTCTCTTCTTCCGGAAAGGATCGAAAATGTTCGTCCTTTGCTTCAAATGACATTCTCTCTGACATGTGTAACGTCATTTGTACAGTCACTTTGACAAGTCACGCACGAGTCGCGTAAGTAATGTTGAATAACTCTCATGCACTCTTATCTTTGCAATGAATTTAAGAGGTTTTGATGAAACTTTACATCAGTTATTATAAATGTAAAAAGCGTGATAATGAACGACGCCGGGTGGTGTAATCGTGAATTTTAGTACTTCCGCGCTGACATAACAAAGAAATGTATTATTTCATATATGTGTGAGGTAAATTTAAAAGAATCACGCGGAGCGAATACTGTCGATATACTTAATATAAAATATTTGTATGGCAGCTTTGGAGCGGTATCGGAAATTTAATATGTGGCATATAACGGAAAAGTCAATAAAACGATACCGCAGAGATCGTACGAGTGAAAAGGATTGAATTTCTACTCGTTACCGAAAACACGCGCAAACAACGGTCCACTTGAAATCTATTTACGTTGGAAATTTTAGACGAATCAGTGCGTCGAAAATCCGCCAAATAGGCATGTAATGATAAATAATCGTCGATGGACGAAACTTTCTATCAGAAGAATAAACACACGTTGATATCCTAATTACAAGTCGACGTGCATTATCAGCGAGAGAACACTATTTGACCGCGCAATGTTTGATTATCCGTCGACCAATATCGTAATACGACGTATCTCTATAGTTATCGTTCAAGAAAAATTACATCGTGGAATTGTTATATATGAAAGATTCGCGAGAAAGATCTTTTTGTGTAAAAACATCAACACATGTGTATCACGCATTTCTTCGCTATTGATTTGTTCGTTGGCGGTGATTCGGGAGGTGAAGAGATCCCAGGCGTTTGGATGCGATCGTCGCACGCTCATATATTGCATTCGGACAAATGTTATTCCGACAAAAAGTCTCTTTCCATCTCTTTACACCTAGCGCGTTCCTGCTACTTGTAATATTTTGTTAGCTTTCGTGTATAACGCGTACGGAGAATTGTTTATTTCGTAACGAAATGATCGAATGGACGGTCTCTGCTGTCGTTATCGCTTTTCGACGTCGGAAAGTCTGAGCGCAAGCTGGTAATGAGAAAATTTGCGCACTCGGGAGAGTTATTTCCTCATTTAGTCGATACACGTCGTATACGTATATGCGATGCGACAACCCGGCCAGAAAAATTGGCATTGTACCGCGTGCGCGACACGATGACCCACATCCGCGAGATAATTCGTTACAGAGTGTGAATAAACGTGAGGTAAGATGAAATAACTTTCAATGAGTTCGCTCGCTTCGTCGAAAACATTCGCGCCATTATTTTCTCGCACATACAAAATTGATTAAACTCGACATTAAATATCTACAAACGGCACGACGACTCATTACTATCATTCGCGACTAAAAAATCATATACCTTAATCGCGCAATTTTATCTATATATGAAAAATGTATGCGATCCCAACGCAACGTATATGTGCGTGCGCGCGCGCTATATCTGTTATCCAAACACCTCTCGACGGAACTTTCCTTCCCGTTGTCCAAAAAAACAATAGGAAAAAGACTACGTTGCGTTAAGAGAGGAATAAAGGAGAGGGAAGAGAAGGAAGTCGCGTCCGACGAGCTAGAAGTGTAAATATCAAGTTAGCTTATCCGAGTGCACAGCATCGTGCGATAGGCAAGTTTTTTTTTTTTTTCATGCAGTCGCGAGCGACAATTATAAACTTGGATATAGTTCTATCGTATCGCCCATTCCGCTCTACTTTTGTTACGTTTACTTAATCTCCGAGAGTTTCCTCGGATAAACGCGAGCGAGCGAGCGAGTGCGCGCGCACACACTGCAAGTGACGTTCAGGCCGTTGTTACAGCTATAGTGGTGGTGTGTGCCGCGTAAAAATTCACGCGGAACCACACACAAGAGGACGTACTTTTCAGATTGCGCTCCGTTGCAGCCGACCGCAGCGATGTCAAACTTATAATTGCGTCGTTTTTCGCAATTCAGGACTCGAAACGCCCGCAGCTCGGCCATCCCCTTCTCCTTAAGGACGATCTCGAATGGTGCCTCGCCATGATGCTTATTGGCGATGCGGAAAGAGCAAACCTTGGTGCCCAAAGCTCGAATTTGCGGTGTGACTTCGACCAGAGTTTCGTTCTCCTTGACCAGACCGTGATATCCGCTCTCGAGGCTCTCCAAATCCAACCGTGGAGCTGCGAACACACACGTGCGATCAATCGCGACGTTTCTCGGTTGGTCACGGAAAGGAAAACAATTTCCGCTTTCGCTATCTCCGTGAAGAACGCCCTCGAGAATGCAGTCGTCGACGTTACCAGTTTTCCTCCATGTGAACGAATCCTTCTCGAATGAATGCGGCGGATCGTAGTTAAATACGGGGGCTGAAATCGCGGCGTTACTCGCGACCGATATCACCGTCCGTCGAGTGCGCGAATTTACATAACGGCGCAATATATGCCCGGCCGCACTATGCTACAGAGTTCCGCCGCAATACTTGTTTCACATTGCTGGTAAGAGAGAAACGTTTACATCGTTATGTATATTTATAAGGGCTATACTTGTTGCAAACATTATATGTATATATTTTTTTCTATCCAATTTGAACGAGACATGGAAAAATAGATTTCGCGAAACGTCATCGGATCTTTCGCGGAAGGGCTGGTGAAATCAAGCACCGCGTAACAAGCAAACTTTTTAATTAAGCGCTGGAGAATATATTCGACGTGCGTTCAATTCACGGTTTTTGGGGTCGGTTTAAGTTGAGAAAAACTTCAAATATAGAAATGGGTTAAGTGAAACAAGTCATTGACTCGTTGTCAGCTTCTTCCACATACGGATAATGAGAAAAACGTTCAAAAACAACTCTAGCGTATCGAGAAGCGTCCCCGTTCGCGGCTCGTAATCACACGCTGTTAATTACTAAAAACGTTGCCATTTTGAACCAGTAGGCAACCATCAATATACAAATTTGCCCGTGTAAACTCTTCATACGATAGTACAATATGATAACTAGAGCCATCAAGATTATTATATTCGTGGAATACAGATTATGTCGCCGATTTCGAATAGACTTTACCTAACGAATGAATTTTGTTGTTTTTAAGTAAACACGAATTTCGAACGTAAACATTTGCTTTGACGAAGTTCGCTAAGTAAAATCGATTGCATCAGATTTCTATATTTTCGCGATTGTATCATAATTTGTTGGAGATAACGCATATATTTTAAACAGGTTCAGAGTAATTACTTATGACAGAACAAACTTTCGGTCGTAACAAAAGTCAATTATGAAACGTATGCATAGTGTGCTTTTCGATTATCTCGCAATTACATGACCGTTAAATGCGACGTTGGAGGCATGTCAAAGTTGGCATTTTGTTTCGTAAAAAGTCTACGAAATATAATCACATTAACGAGAGTTATGGTTGCAATTATTATATTCCAATTATGTAATTCTTCGCGTATTTTTCTCTCTCTTTCTCTCTCTCTCTCTCTCTCTCTATCGCACGAGAAAGTACGTATTATAATGATATAGTATCAACAATGATTTTGATGTAAAGGATAACGTACAACAAATGATACCTGGCGAATGTCCTCCTCCCCTGTTATGCGATCGACTATTCGTTAGCGCGAATCGACAACTCGCGGTAAAGACTACCAACGCTCGTCACCGTCTCGCGGAAAGGTGCCAAATATGTTCAATGTATTACATCAATCCCCTGCGTTGTACTCTAGTCCGCCGAACAAGATATTCATCGCTAATAACGAAAGTTGACGGATACTTATGCGCTACAACTCAGATATCACTCGGTTGACAAAACATTCGGAACATGTAATATTTCAGCAGCTGATAATTATCTCCACATTATCGCAGTAATTAATTAACCGTTCACCTACACGAAATGTACTTTGACGTACGAAGGGGAGGGGCATTATCGCGTCGGAATATCAGAACTGACGTTATGATGCATTCAATTATCACGACATGCAAATGCGTCATACAGAACGCAAGTTATCGGGGGAAAGTATTCGAGGTATTGTGAATCACGATATTATTATACCGTGGGTAACGAAACCCTCTAATCTTAGCGACACGAGTGATCAGAGATAATTAACGATCGGCCCTACGCGCCCAAATATTTTTAACGCGTAACTCGATCCCCCCTCTCTCTCTCTCTCTCTCTCTCGACACGACAAGAATATTAGATTCACATCGCGCGCTTTACTTTCGTCCGGCTTTGCCCGAAATCGTCTAATTTTACCTCGACTCCCTTTTTCGTACGTGATTCACACTTAGTTTGTTATTCCGAACAGCGTGACTAATACCGTGTCTTTCGATGAACGATCGTAATCACGATTGTTGGGGGGACCGTACAAAAATGCTACATGTGACACGTTTCATTCAGCGACCGCGCTGTAGCCAAATATTCTTTAAAGAAATTTGTCGTTATGCAAAGTATACGCTATATAATAATTATACTGTAACGATCGATCGTTCTTTTATCCACATATTAATAGTATTATTTCTATCAATCACCGTGCATGTGTCGCATTCGACAACGTTCTAACGTTATTCATCTTTTTGTCCGTAACAGACGAGTAAGAGACTGCGAAGAAAACAACAATCTAGTAGTCGCGCCGCGAAAAAAGAGCTATGCGATAAAGGCAATGTCATTACTTTCACATACACACGCACACCTGTTTCGATTATGCGTCAACATACATGTAACCGGAGCATATCTAAACATTTTACCTATTTTACGTCCGCCAAATGCACAAATAACTTTCGGCAACAATGCAATATTAAGCGAATCGGCCATTCCGCAATGTGCATAAAATTTTACGTAAAATCGATTATTTCAAACTTCATTTCAAATATAACGCGCGCGCGCGCGTACATGTAAGATATTAATCAATTTTTCATTCAAACGGAATGAAATTGGAAAAGAGCACAAAGTGAACGATTCCAACAGTGTGACACCTCCTTCGTTACGTCATACAAAGGCTTCGTAAAATCTGTCAGAGAAGGGGACTCGATATCAACAACCAAATGTGTTTACGGCATCCTTTGCATTCCTCCGAAATTTCAGTGCCCATTTCTCGCTTTTCAAATTTCTCGGTGAAGAAAAAAGGGGAAAAATCGTGCGGTAACGGGGGTTAACAGCCGTGTCTCTTTCTTTCCTCGCCCGTTTCGCGCGGCGGCATATCGACCGCGGGTGGGCGCAGTGCAACACGCTCCATCGTACCGCCGTATCATCGTATATACGCGAGAGACAGGCCCCACACACACACGCGCGCACACGTCCAATGATAGCGCCATAACAGTTTCGGCAGCTCGCAGGTGCAACAGACGCGATGGTCGCACCTGCGAGCACGCATAGCGATCGCGCCACAGAGATATTATTTCCGAAAGAAAGAAAAATGCAAGCATATGCAACGACAATCGTCGGCAGTATATGTGATCAGCAATATATATATATATATATATATATACGATCAGCGGTGATGGTGGCGGCGGTCGCGGCGGCGGCCGCAGCCAGGTAAACGGACGCGCAAACGAATGTAGGGCACGGTGCGCGACAGGAGAGAGAGAGAGAGAGAGGAAATTATCACCTCCATGATCGTTGGCGAAGAAACTCGACGGCGGTGTCGACTCGAGAATACTCGCGTGGGAGAGGCCAACACACAGGGCCAGGCCGCAGAGTAGCACGCTCGTCGTCGCTGGCAGCATATTTGCTCCGCTGCGTATCGTTCTTCCGTTGCCCGTCGTTGTCTTTGTTGATCTTCTCGTCGGAATAACCGTCACCTACCTATTGGAGGCGCGCGACTTACGCACCTTACGCGTCCGTTTGTCGCACTCGACACTCCGCGGTGTCTCACTCGCACGCGCACTCAGGGAGCACTCGCTTTTTAAAGGAGCATCGCCGCCTAACTGCACAGACGGACGGACCTACTCTCTCTCGCGCGCGCTCGCTCGCTCGCTCGTTCGCTCGCTCGACACGGCACACACAATTGCGGAGTCAATATTTGAGTGGAATATCGATTCGCCAGTAGAGACGCCAATTTTCCTCAAACTGCCCCGGGGCGGCGCTACCGTCGCACGACATATTTGATGCCGTTCACATGTGCTCTGTTCTACCACGTCACTATGACCGGTATTCATAGGCTGCGATTCACTCTTATGGCTTCTGCCCATAAGACGCGGCAACGCTTGCCGGAAATTCGCGCGATAGCCAATCAACACGCCGTTTTTCGGTAAGAGCTAAAAGTTTATTGGCTACCGCGCGGCAAGTGTTGCCGCATCCTGTGAGTAGAAGCCATTATAGCTCAATGTTGATTGGACCACATGTTGTGTCAAGGTTCATCTTCAGATGCTGTACGGCTCATTGGCTACAAAAATATCTGATGATGAACTTTTGGACGACCTATGATATAAAATCCGAATGGATTCGGATAGTGATTCGCGCAATTTTCCTGCGCTTTTGTAAAATGATACTAATGATACAGATTTTCGATAGAGAAAAATCATTTAAAAGGTCCAATTTAACGCACAATTGATTCAATATTTTTATTGAAAATATATACATGTTTCGAAATGGAAAATATCAAGTATATCTATAAATATTAAATTTCTCACAGTGTGCATATAAATTATCAATAACCGAGTAATATATCATTTAGAGATTTTGATAAAAGAACATTGAATAAAAATGTTGAAATCTTCTTTATTGACTCTTACGTTGTACTGTTTTCAATCCTTAAAAATCGCTGTATCAAAAACTAAGCTTACATCCTAGCTGTTTGAAGTCCCGGAATAATAATAGTAGGACAATGCTAGTACTTATGTTTTATTTGAGGTTCTCCAGGTTTCGGTGATATACGGCCATCTGTAATTTGTACATCATCAATGTGTAGTATTGTCATTCGTACATCGAGAAATTCGATTCTATTTTTCAGTGGTGTCATCTCTCTAAATTCATCCATGCTAATATTCGATTTATCGATTATCAGTCTACAGTTTGGATCAATTTTCTTCGGATACATCGTGTCTCCAGGTAGGACATGCACAAAGCCATCCTTTAGATTCACACGCACCTGAAATTATTGCGCAGACAATATAGCAACAGATATTTTTACAATAGCCCTCTGTGTTTACATACCGGTAAATAACATTGCACACCCACTTTACCACGTTGTACAGCATAATCTAGTATATGATCTATATCTCTAAATGTAGCGAACTTGGTAATTTCGTACTGTTGAGGTGGTGGCAATATGATATCTGTTGTAGACCAAATATTCTCTGGCGTCTCCCACTAAATAGCGATTTCTAGCGGTTAATTCTCACGGAGGATAGTGTTAGTGAAAATGATCGTAAAATGTCTCACTATTAGATCCTCTATCTCGGTAACATCGTACTCAGTATCAGGGGTTGATTGTACACAAGCCAGATAAAAGACTGTGTTGTAACGTTTCTCAAGATATGTAGGCGTTAACCAGTTGTTCCATTCGTGCAATGCCCACAAGTCAGGATAACAATCAAACTTTTTACAAAATGTTAGAAATTCTGAAGCATTGTTGTGGATTTTTTTCTGCCATGTTTGCAACTCCTCTTTAGGAACTGAAAATTATGCGTTAATTTATTAATGTTGTTGCAAATTAACCTGCGAACTTACCTGACAAATATTGGGCCTCAACGGAAGGTTCTTCGCCTCTTTGCTTGCATATCAGCACTCCGCACTCCTCAAAAGTCTCGCGAATAGCTGTGATACGCAGCGAAATATCCCTGAGTAGTTCGTTCTGTTGTGCTTTAAAGATCTGTGGTCGAACCGTAGTTTTTGGAGTCAGAGATGTAAAACTATCATTGTCGAAACCAAAGGAAGCAAAGAGCTCGTACCACTTGAGATCAGAGTCAACTGGATCAATATTACCTCCAGGAAAAACATATGACCCTGGCATGAAACTCGACTTTTGATGACGTTTTAGGCACAACATATTGTAGTTTTGCTGAAAGCATACTTGCTGTTAAACAAAGTCTGTTTGACACACATAGATCCATTCCATTTGATTATTAAACCAACAGTGTGTTGATAACTCTCAACATTAATAAGTTGATAACAATCGATTAATTAAGCATTTTTCGGAAAGATTATGAGTCTATTATTTATTTACTGACTAATAAGATGTAAATAATATCTTGATAATATAGCAGTAATACTGCTAGTTTATGCACTTACAACCGAAGACGACACAGGGCTCCTGTACTTTTGTCCATGACGCGCAATTAATATTAAACTTGCCGCATACCGCCAAGCTGCCATCTTTGGTATTTTTTTACGATAAAATAAACGTGGATATTCAATTATCGTCGTAATGGGAACTTGCTACTCTGCTAACGAATAATTCACTTGATTTTTTTTCCAACCATGTTAAATATCGTTAAATATACGTCGTCAGTAGATAAGACATCGAAAACAATCACATTGCATATGTTACGTTACATCTCATCATATAATACATACGAAATACATGTGCCAGGAATTAAGTAATAATCGAAACTTTATTATAACTGACTTTTCAACGATAAATTACATCTTTATTCGCAACGTACAATTCCTTAAGAGATTCTTAAGTACTATCGAATTATTAGATAAATGAAACAATGTAAACAATATGCTACGTTTTCTCGTTTGTATTATCTTCTGTCTTTCCTCCCGTTGCCGCGATCATCAATTCGTACAATTGGCACACTTGCTCGTCTCGCAATTTCTCGAGATCCTTCTCCTTTAAATATTTGCCGAGCTGTTTCGCCGTATGAGGACCCCTTAACCCAAGCTGTTCGGCAAGACAGACCGCGTAATCCTGCGAAATCGATTAATTATTGTGTGCCTCGCGAGTTACGTCGACTAATATGTAGAAACTCGCGTCAACCTAACCTAATCTCCCCCCCCCCCCTACTTACAGTCCATTCGTGGAGAAAAGTTATCGCTTCGCTCTCGACGCACTTTTTGTGTCTTCTAAACTCGTCACGAACGTAATTATCACCTAGAGATTGAATCTCGGCCGGTAAACCGCGATGTAACCTCAAGATCGTCTTGTACAACATCCTGACACGCCGCACGTGCGTCCGGGAAGCCATGACGTGATTTTACGTGCTAGTTGCACATGGCTTTTATAAGTCTCTGTTTATTTCATCAAATCGCTTGTTCTCGAGATCGCGTCGGGTTGTCATCATCATCACATATAATCCCGCATCCCGTTGCATTATCGCGCTTGTTTCGTAGTTCCATCTAGTACCGTATCGATTTTCGATGCGCGAGCGACTTCGCGCACCTTGCGAGATCTTCACGTAGAGAAAGCCGTATCGGCTACAAATATGAATCGTCTATTACTGAAAATACATACGTGCAAGATCGTGTATCATGTAAATTGCTTCTATTGTTAACCTAAGAAAGAAATGGAGAAGAGAAGATGAGAATTTTGAGACGATAATTACCAGCTTAAATGCAAAGTATTTTTTTTTCGTTCACGTGTCTTTTATTTTTATTCGATAACATGTGTTAGGACAACTTGTTTCTGTAAAGAAAGTGGTGTAGTAAAGGCAATGGTTAATTTTACACCAAAATATTCAACAGAATTTCTTATGTCTATGCACACAAATAAACTTAAGCACTTAAAAATAATTAACGATATACGCGTGCACGCGATATAACTAAATTTTCTCCGTTAATATTTATTTTTATCCACAGAAATATTGTCAATGCTTATTTGAAACGAATCATGTCCATACGGATGCGCTTAATCGAAATATTGCCAGTAAATGAGTGGTCCGTCCTTGCTGATGTTAATTATCTTCTGGAGTTCTGGCGTCTTGAATTTCCTATAATTAGATCGTATTAATACTTTTGTAATTGTTGTAATTTACCAAGCGTGACTCACAACACCAAATTAAATCGCACAATTGAGAATCACACACAGACGGGCAATTTTTGACCCTCTCGTATAGGTATTTTTCTTACCCGATTCCTTCTTTCACCGTACTTTGACCAAAATGTGACCTTGCACGCCGACTTTTGTCCAGTTTGCTTGTTAAACACGGAACATGTCGAAAACGGTGGCGAATACAAGTGCAAGGAAACGGCAGGATTGGTTGCGCTTGGATTTTCAACACGATGCAAACCCATGGAATCTCAAACAAAAAGAAACACTAACAGTTCATTTTAAGTATATATATGCGTGCAAAACGTATTATACTGACTGTATATGGATTGATCGTTAACATGTATAAATTCCATTAAAAATTAATTATCGCGCAGTAATTTAACATTTGTAAAAATCAATAACCGTGCGCGATGGCCGCATGTGAGTTATGAAAAAACGTTGTGAAGGTTGCTTATGTTTCAAATAAAATTAATACATTAAACATTTGAAAACTTGACGAAAAATATTTGGGTACCATTGATATAACAGATCTCGTTCGTATCGAGGGTATTCCTTTCAAGTTCTCTCAACTCCTCCGATGAATGCGTACCATGTTCTGTTTTGGATGTATCAGGCCACGCGTATCTCGTCTAACGGGTAAAAACAAACGTAATTTTATATCTTAATTATATGCGTGCGTATATATTGTACGACACCATCGAGTTATCAATAGTGACACAAATAGTTCCAAAAATGGAAATCATCATTTTTTCACCTCGCACAATTGTCCTTGGAGAATTTTCATCACACAATGTGCGTTGGCATGATCGTGTATGGCCGATCCATGCCCTTCGCCCCAACATAGTACCATGAGATTAAACCTACCATTTCCTTCGTCAACAAGGTTCCTCGTATACCTGCGCACAAAACATCACATGATTACACGTGACGGATTTCATCACTTTGAAAATATTCCTTATCGAAATATTCGTTCCATACATATTTAGAATTTCTCATTGAATTTTCTCACATTGTTGTTTAATGATTTTGGCTTGAAATCTTAATATGCGAATATTTTTAATAATCCATAGATCTCGAACACATCGCGATATCATGCGCACCAATCAACTTGCCGAATTTCGTATATATATACATATATATATCACGACACTTCTTTCATATCAATGTTTATATCCACCGACACAAATATTAATCGTGATGATAGCGTGTGTGTATATAACCGCGAACTATTTTAATTACGTATTAATTATTTGTTATTTACATGCGTACATAACATCGCGTGCACGTTAAATGAAGAACGCTGTGAAACAATCGATTGTTGCCTTTTGCGCGCAACATGTGTTTGAAATTATTATTATGAATTTACCTGTATTCAATTCATTATCTCCGAGAGAAAAACATTATTTGTACGTTGTATTAATATATAAGTTGACCCGAATTTATGTATTGATGGTTTTCAATTTCCGTATATGCGAAGCAAATCGAAAGTTTCCGAACGCTTTACGAACCGGGAATATTATATTGCGTCGATATAGATATAAATTTTCTAGCTTCGACTACATCGATGCATACGGAGGAGGGAGACGTGCAAAGTGGAAAGTGTGTAACCAACTATTCATGAGTCGATCGTTCTTGTGTGTTCAGATTCTTCAATTTTTTAGTCTCTATGAAAAGCTACGAATCACAAATCCATAAGCGATATTCTGTTGAAATTTATCCTTCTAAAAATGATTTCGTTGCGAAATAATTTTGGCAAAAGGAATATTTATTATGCTCTACTTTGTGTTGACATATACACGGCAAAACCGGTAAAACGCTCGCAACAGTTTCCGTACTTTCCCGTGTCACGTCGATCTCGGCTACTGCGTATTCTAATCCCACCTGTATCCAAGGTGCTCGTTATCTCGCAAACTCGTTAACTCATTTTCATTTCTCATTTACGGTCGCTCGCCTAATCGGTCGAAAGAATTTGTCATACAATCGATGACTACGCAACGTCGCCGACAAGCACGCGACAAACACGGTTCTTCTCAAAGACTGTTATTTCCGCTAGTTTTATATAATTTTATTTTTCAAAGAACTTGCGACACAAAATCGTATATGCAAACGTTATTACGTAAACGTTACGTAAACGTTACTTAAACGTGTTAAGTATGAAAAATATCTGAGATGTGCGTCAAGAAGTATATTTTATTGAGAAACCGCTTTTTGTTGAGAGATTACAATACGTGCGGATGTCCCTTGAGTTAGGTAACAATAATAACTTAAAAGTATGTGCTTCAAGTAGATCGCTTCAAGTGATTTTTATTTATTTAAATACAATTCCGATAAATTTCTGCGATTAACCACATGGAACAGTTTGTTGTTAAAATGAGCAAGACAATATTCTCTCTCTCTCTCTCTCTTATATTTGAAATCTGGCAGAGTGGAGTATTATTGGCTCCAGTAATGTTGTTACAACATGTACATTGGTTTTTTTATCAGTACTGAAAGTAGCTAGGAATTGCAGTTGGCAATTCTGCCGATGAATCGATTAATTAAAATTTTGTATGAAAGTTACTCTGTATATATGAAAATACGAGTTAGATCGTGCGCGGTTCGTTGTAACGATAACATTGTTGGCGGTGCCTAATAATTCTAGAACTCTCTGTTCCTCTTATCGTGCGAATAAAGATACTTGGCGAGATCGTGCGTTAAACAAGCAATAAGTAAGTTCATCTTATGACTTGTAAGATTTGCGAACGAGAATAATGCCGCGGATATACGTAATTTTACTTTAGCCTGGAGCAGTTTAATCTACCGGCAGTGATTAATTATACTTACGAGATACTTACGAGATTAATTAATTACATGTAATTATCTTTCGAGCGCTCTAGAAAACAGCTCCATGAACCAGCTCTTATTTATAAACGAAATAATTATTTCTCGCGATTACATATATACACTCGGACTACATGTTACTACATATTGTCTGTAGACACATATTATTTGCATCAATCGTGTTGAGAAACGGAAAGAAAATTCAAGCCATGACCAAATTCAATTGCAACGATTTTCGTGTTTTTCACCGATCCACCATCCATATTAGGAACGTCACGGATCGTTTCGAAACAAGGTTACTAAAATCTGTTTACATTTACGCGAGACGAACGATTAGAAAGAGAGAGAGAGATGCCGCAACGGGGGCGAAAACAGATAACCCGGCCTGAACTTTGTCGTGTTAATTTCATTTTACGATTCCTAGTGGCGTGATGATGCGCATTCCACTTACGCTTATGAAAAATGCGTCATTCGCCGAAAATATTTATCCAGGCTTTAGTTTAGTAATGTGTCGGAGTACGTCGTTCCTCAAGTGACGACTACCGTTACATGTTATATCGAGTCATACAATAGTACCGTAATTGCGAGGTGCCGGTATTCAACTAGACGATAAATAGCCGAAATATATTACTGTATTCCTCGCGGAATAGCAGTATCTTGGCATCGACTGATCGAATGTACCAAAGAGCGTGTCGTGTCTAAGATATAATAGTCGAAATTGATTTTATGCGCATAATACATGCGTGCGTACGATGTATAGTATGGAAAATATTAGAGGCATGAAATATATTAGGTTAGACGTATGTGTACCTGTATCTATCAAACTTGCCGAATTTCTTCCAATCCACGGGATTGCTCTTGTAGCTCCTCATCAGATCTTGCACGTAATCAATATTCACGTGGTCCGTCTCGAAAGCTTCGTGTAGCGCATCGATGAGTTCCCGAAGGGTAGAAACTTCTCGATTCTCATGGAGAACCGGCGATTTTCCGACATAAGGTATATCGAGCAATCGATTGTTGGAAACGTCCATTTTTCCGCGACACTCTATTTACCCCACTGTTTTCGAATTTTTCGCGTTCACTAAATCACCGACGTAGGTGTGCAATGAGTTTCGAAAGGAATTTAGTTTAGCAGCAAAAAACGTACGCCGGGGAACGTTGAAACGTGGCTGACTCGTAGCCGTTTCGTGGTCGACTCTCGATTCGTCCCGTGAACCAACGAGAACCCACCTGTAGCGCCGGTACGAAGGTAAGGAAAAAAACTTACGCCCTTTCTCGCTGGATTTTGACCGTTAGTTTGACTAACCGCGAGAGATTGTATTAATCTCCGTATTCTATCTCGCTTAACTCTCTGTCTTTATCCGGCTACAGCTCGATCTAGTATGGAGTAGCCGCAGCGTCTTATATGTCGGTACGACGTGTCCCCTCCTCCCGGTCGACCGGGCAGCGAAGACGATATTTTCCAAATTTTCCATCTTGTCTTCTATCGCTCCTTCCCCTCCTCCCGTCATGTTCTCTCTCTCTCTCTCTCCCTCCCTCCCTCGCTCCCTCCCTCCCTCCCACTGTCTCCTTCCTTCCTTCCCTTCCTCACCCCTTTGTGCTTACTATAATATTTTATCATCGACATTACTTGTAAAAAGACGAATTTTTCTAACGCTCGATTTATCTCTTCCGAGTTACCTCCTTCATTCGTTTCGTGAACTGGAATGTTTACGAAACGTCGGAAACAAATCGATCGCAACCCAGAAGTCACACAAAGTGACAGTCGTCAAGTATTTCTCCGCAGCGCGGAAGCCTAAAGTATCACAAATTTCTAATGTTTGTTTTTCAATGATGAACCGATAGTACATTCTAAATAAAAACTAAACAAGTTCAACTTGCGGCTCATTAAAAAACATGCAAATAATATGCGACTTTTTCGGCTTTTCGTATGTTATGTAAAAATTACATTTTTAATATTATTTTTAATACACATACACAAACATAGTCAGCAGATTAAAGGTTGCAACACTTTGTCCACGATAAGTTTCTGCAACGCATCTCGTATCCAATGTAGAAAATCGTATCTTCTTCCCGAGCGTTACTAAAAACAAATTCTCCCATTACATGCGGAATGCGTGGCGAAATTCCTCGACAAAAAATATTGCATGCTTTTAATCTACCGGCTGCGCGCGCGCACGTGTGAGCGTGTAAAATAATTGACACACGATGGATGCTCCCACTTATGTCGAGTATTTAACGCAAGTGGAAAGAATGATTGAATATTGGACAAATGTGTCTTATATTCGTGCCATATTTGAGTTCCGATATTCATCAGCCGTTATCACATCATGTGACGATTACTGACGCGTTAATAATATGTTTTGAATTTCTCGATTCCTAAAAGTAATGAAATCTTTTGTGACGCACAAAATGTACAGAAATATATACGTACGTGCGTGTCCGAGTTTTTATCTCTTTATTTCCCGAAGAAAGATTAATATCGTATCAACATTAATATATCTCTTGCACATATCATACACGCAATTGACAAACATCTCGTATATTCGAGCGAGTATATTCTATATTTATATTTATCTCGAAAGAGAGAGAGTTCTCTCTTTACCGACCATTTCGATATTTCAGGGAGATATTGCGAGGAAAGTCGCAACCTTCCCAATTTGTTTTGTCAACTGTTTTACCGGGAATGTATATAAACGAATTAACAAAACGCTATTCATTGGCATAACACTCGGATTAAGAAAGCAAGCGATCGAGATAAAAAATGAATATACGTCGTTTTAGATTGTCTGGAATCTATTTAATCTATATCATAGGATTGATTCGACTAAATTAATAATTTACCTTTTTTCACCCACGGCGATAATATTTTCGTGTTCGCTCTTTGCCTCTCTCTCTCTCTCTCGCGTGTATAATTCGGTGAATCACCTGCGCGCAGCCTCCGTAACCAGGCTACCTCGCTAAGATGCAGCTGCAGAAAAGAATGCAATAAAACAGAAACAACAGGCAATACGAGGGCCTCGTGTACGAACCTCATTGATGAGATAAATAGCACGCCGTCGATATCTGTTGCTTAAAATTTGAAAAATCTTTATCGTTTCAACTAGATGTTGTTTATATCTTGAACGCATATATTTGATCGCGCGAAAAAACTTTATAATGAAAATTTATACGTACACACATCGCTAACAATTAGATCCTTGCATTCAAGGTGAGCTCTTGCAATAATAGCACTTTGCCAGTGGCCTCTCGTAGATAGCCATGCGGCTTTTCCCGCAGACCGACGAATCGCAAACACGACCGGTATGTCGAATCGGTATCAATGTTTCAACAATGCCTCCATCACGTTTGTCTCTTGACCCACCGCGACCGTCATTGGACGTTTTCCTTTTAGCTTCTCCCGCTTTGGTGCATCTACGCTTCGTAGTTGACGGTGTAAAAAATCCGCAAAGAAATTCAACAGGTATAATTATATTGATTACAGTGATGACATTGTGAAATGTTCGTCGAACAGATGGTAAAAATGTCTTAAGTTGATGAAAAAGAAATATATGTTTGAAAAATACAAAAAACATAGTTCGTACAGTTTGTCTCGACGGCTTTACTTTCCACTAGCTTTTCTCTTCCTTATCATCGAGACCGATCTCTCATCGTCGAGGAAAATCTTTGTTCCCGCGGTATATTTGCATACCTCACGTAACCCTCGACCCTCCTTCTTCCCTCATCCGAATTGACCTGCGAGCCACCGCAGGAATTCCTCCTGCATCGTGTGCAGCACACGGTCTCGCTCATCTTCCGTTGCAGTTCGTTCATCACATTCGAGAAGACGTCCAACCGCTGATAAGGTAGCTCTTCAAAGCGTTTCTCGTAACAATTGTCCGGCTCGTTTCTCGCGAAATATCGTCTGATTTCCCTCTTCGGCTTCCAACTGGTGACGCGAATCGTTCCACCTTTGTTCGCTCTTGCGCCAATATGTTCGCGAATTGCATGGTGGTCCTGAGAATCGCAGACATCCGATGGCAAGCCGCAGCTTGGACATTTGCCGATCGGTGCTGTACATGTGCACTCGCCTCGCGGATTGTCGCAATACAGACAAATCATCGGCTTCTTGCGACAACGCTCGTCTCTCTTTCGGCGATTAACGGCAATGCAACTCACCGGCAATGCTCCATTACTGTCTGGACTTTGCGTATGTGTTATTTTCATCTTAGCAAGCATCCGAATTGTGTGTACAGTGTAAAAAAAGCACTCTAACTTACCTATATCCGCACTTTCCGCATCCACCGGATCTTTCTCTGCGACAATGGGTCTTCTTACATTCCTCCCGTGCTCCCTCGCGACAATTGATGCAAACGCGCGATACACCATGAAATCTCAGTTCGTCAGTCTTGGAGCAACTCTTCAGATACTCGGTCGGCGCGCGCTCGTTTTCCGCATCCAGTTGTTTGTGCTTGCGAAAACAGTCCACGAGACTGAGGTCGTTGCACTTTGCGCGCTCGGTAACTAAGCGCAAACCACTCTGCGGCTCAAAGTGTATTTCGCGTTCACAAGAAATAGACTCTTCTTCCACTTTCTTCCTCGGGCACCGCACGTAGCGCACTGTTGTTTCACCTTTCGAGGCATCAACCGCATCTTCCGGTGTGTCACCCACATCTTGGACCGCGCTTACGATCGACTCCGTGATTTTGTCTGCCTCCATGACTTTTGATATAGAAATAGTCTCGTCCCGATCGACACGTTCGCTTCTGGTAATTTCATCGCTAATGGCTTTCCTCTCGGTCTCTCGAGGTTCCGTTGTTTTAATTGGTCGAAAATCCGATCTTTTCGCCGCAATGATGCGCAATAATTTAGACTTTGAAGATACTGTTTGATTTGTACTATCCACTTTCTCATTGGTGAGTGTAGTTACGTCTGTTACAAGTGCAGTCGGTTTTGGACTTTCGACGAACGCACCATTCCCAGCTGTTTCTGCGAACATAATCATGACACGATATATCGATGCAACGTCGAATCAGCCAATAACAGCTTAATATTTTTACATATATATACTACATTAAATATTTATCGACATTAAAATTAAAATGTCGCATCGTTATGCGAGCACATATATAGTTATAGTTGTACTTCTATTTGCACACACACACAATTATATATTCGCGTAATATGATTTAGCGTCGTACGTGCAAGATAAAATTTAACGCTGTGCGCGTAGGGGCTCTACGGTAATTAAATACCAAATTACAAATTAATTTAGAATTCACCGTGCTTGTTTGCAAGCAGAAGTCTCGGCGATCTACGCGCTCTTTCACCAATATCTCGTCGGTCTTTCTCGTCGTCGTTAATTCGATTCAACGGAACCCTCGTCATTTTCATCGAATCATCCCGCCTCGTTTCCTTTCCATCTTTAGATCGCCCTATGGCTTTACGGCGCCGAATTACATCTAACAATTTTTCCAGAGATCGATGTAGCAGCGTATTCTTCTTCTCTAACGGTTCTATTGTTTTCGAATTCTTATTGTCCTCTTCTTTTGACTTTTCCACTTTCTTCTCTTTCATCTCTTGTTTACTTTCAATTGACGTAAAATCTCCCTCAACAGGATTCCTCGGTACTGATTGAAAATGGCTCGGTCGAAGCAGAGGCATCTTTAATCGCGTCCTTAGATTTTTTTTTCGATCAACAAGATTCTTCACACTTGGGATTTCCATCGTATTGCTATTCGAGGAATAATCAGGCCGACCGCTAAGCTCGTTTGAAAACGTTGCGGAATCTCGATCTAATGGTTTCAAATCCCTGATTACGGGCCAAACAACCTTTTTCTTTTTATGTTCGACAAAATGATCGTGGACAATATTGTTATCCTCATCGGACTGTATCGTCGCTCTTTCAGCATTTAGCACGACATTCCCCTTCCGGTTGTTTAAATCGTTTGTGCTATCCTTTATCCTCTCTTTCGCGAGTTTATCTTTTGCATCTTTCGCGGTTGGTTTGCCCTCGTCTCGGTTGGCAAAGTCCAAGTCAATAATCTTACAAATTGTATCCTTTGGATCTTCGTTTGGGACTTTGGGCTTCTCTCGCAAACCGGCCGTTTTTTCTTCCGGAAGATCTTTCGGTTCTATCGTCTCGTGTATGATATCTCGTGAAAGCTCTTCAGAGAGCAACTTCTTACAGACTCTCGTTACTTTCAGAGGTTCTTGCGAATTTTCAAGCGTCGTCCCGCACATTCGAGCTTCCTCGAAACAAGTTGCTCCAACATTGTTAAGCGAGATCGCATTCCGCTCAGTCGACTCGCCGCAAATTACTCGGCATACATTTTCAGAGGGCTCGACGTTCGTCAACGTTTCGTCAACGTTTGTGCAGTAATCTTCTTCCTTCTCCTCCGCGATGCAGCTACAGGTGGACCATCGCAACTTTGGCTGCTGCTGTCTTCCGCTTCGACGTTCGATCGGTCGTTGCGGCAGCTCGTAGCTCAGTTTCTCCCAAGAGTTTTTACGATTTAGTACCCGAAACTTCTTATTTCGTATATAGTTGGAATCGTCTGCGAAACACGCGGTGCGATCCGTGTAAATCGATTTTAGTAACCATCCATCGATCGCGTCGCGCACACCGATACGTGTCGGCAGTTTATACGTTGTTCTTCCGCAAACACAGTCATTCCTGCGATCCTTCCGTTCGCTCGGTAATCTTACTTCCGAGGGATAAGACGACTGAAAATCGTCGCACGGGAATATAACAGAATCGTCCTGATTCGCGCTGCTACTGAAATTCGTATTTTCGCGACAACGAGCATCTTGAGTCGATGAGATCGTATCTTTGCATTCCCCTTGATCGCTAACTTGGGTGCCCACCTGACATCCATCATCCCTGTCGCTCGACTTCGTTCTATGGCAGATCTCAGGCCACGTTTCAATACTATCGCGGACGATGCTATCGTCGCTTCTCTCTCGCTTTTCTTGCTGGATGGAATTGGGCGGTTGCTGCGCTTGTATTTTCTTCCGTTTCTCTCGTATACCATTTATCAATTTACACGATGACGCGTTGCTGACACTGACGCGTCTCGAGTTGATACTTGCGTTGGAAGTTACGTCGATTTGAGCTCCCAATTTTTTCCTGTCCTATATATACACGCATGTGTAAAATGATCGATTGTGACTACGATTGTGACTTGCTGTCATATATTCATCGGTGTCATTGTATATATATATACAATAGAAAATAATAAATTTCTCTCGCGAGAAATGTGTGTGTCGTTTCTTGATATTTTACATTTAGCAGAGAAAGATAATCAACTTACCTGACTGTTGTCATTAGTCTCCGAGCAGATATATATGTTGACATTTCCGGTCATTCTACGATTGTCAGCGTTAACGCCGTTATTCGCCGAATTCGAGTACCTTTTATTCTTACTTTTCACAGACACAGACGGTGTCGTACGTTGGTGCGTTTCGACATATGGATCGCCATAGGCGAGTAAACTGTCACATTGGTGTGAAAAGTAACGCGTTCTTGTTGCGCCTCGATTGTCGCGAACATTGGACGGATTCTTGCAACATTGCTTCTCTTCTTCTTCCTCTTTCTCCCCCTCCTCCTCTACTCTAGATTGAAACTCGCGACTTTTCTCTTTGGACTCTTTCGAAGATGGAAAAGTCAATTTGTTTTTCTCCTGTTTCAAACAAATCTTTACTTGTCAACCCCGACTCGACTTCATAGCTACGTAATTTACGATTGATTGTAACGCTTTTAAATAAATTTAAGAGCTTTTTAACTTTCAAGTAATATTTTCCGGGATGTTACCATCTTTTTTCAGTTTGCTTTTAAATGCATCGTGGATGTTTGCATCTTAGTAAATACCATTGAGTAGTGTTTCGCGATACTTTGCATGGCTTCTTTAACAGAATTGTTAATCATCTCTGTTAACTTGGATGAACTGATCTTTTCGTTGACTCGGAGCAACTGATTTTTCGTCGTCTTTTCTATACTACATGTTTCTTTCGCCATCTTTCCCTTTCCAAGTGTTCCCAAAATACAGACATCGCTTGGCGTCTTCTCGCAACCACATTTATCTTCCTCTATCTTTACTTTTTGTCCCTTTGCGTTATTTTCTTTCTGCTTTTCTTCAACCATAGCTAAAGCAAAAGGTTTCAAAGTAATCAATCATCACACACAGTAACGATGGAAAAACGATAATCTTTACGAAAAGGAGGAAAAATATTGTGTAAAAATGGCAAGTCCAAAATTACGATTGAGAATCTTACGAACCAAACAGATCTTTGCTCTCGTCGGTTTTTGAACTAAGTTTCTGTGATGGAACAAATTCAACAGGCTAATCCCATTATCGTTTTTCATGATGTGAATCTTTTTTCAAATTTTATACGACTATCGATATTAAATTCGCGACGCACGTGTTCTCCTTGCATATCATATCTTTATAAATACTTGGCAATTTTAGCTACTTGGTTAACCTGCCATACTGGCAGCAAACGACGATATTTTACAATGACAGAATAAAACAAATTACTATTGCTAACGCGCTCTATGTATGTACATGCATATATATGTTTTCTTTTCGCAATCGATTGGTTACTTTCTCAACTATCGAGAAACGTTCGCCTGCTGAGTCACTGCTGCTGACCCGATAATAGTAAACGATGCAATTTAAAAAGAAGGAAAATAGTAGAACTGAATCTCTAAAACCTCGACTCGCATGCTTCATCTTTTCAATTAGAGACGTCATATCTGCAGAGATAACGGAAAAATTGTCCAACCTTTTTGCTGCATCGGTAAATCAATTTTCGCACGGCATCCTTGACTACGCCAATTTGCAGGTCCAGTGCACCAATCAATCTCTCGAATATCGGCATCGCAACGGTCGGCACCAACGATAACGAATCTGTTGTTTGCCTCTGAGCCGACCGTTGCGGTTGTTTTCACAGAGATACGTCAGCGAAACTGCATATTGCTCATTTGCGCGCATGTAATCATATGATATGAATTTTTTAAAATGCTGTTTATTCCGACAAATATTTAATATTCGTATACACTCACTTATATACACAGAGGCACATAGGAGAAAATGATTTTGCCGATTGCATATCTTATTATCTCTCTTTATTTCATAATATTTCAGTATGCAATTGTTATTTTACTACGTACAACATCTTACACGTCCCCTTGTTATACACCCTTTTTATCATGGAATAATATTATTTGCGCTTTCATCGGCCGAAGTTGAATCACCAGATCGATAATTCTCGCAAAAGTAACTAGAAAACGAAGCCGTTTCACTGAACGATTCGCCTTGAAATCTTTGTCCTTTCTGATAACTTGTATCGCATATTTCCTTGTACTGGTTATACGTTGGCTGAAGATAAATATTATAATATTAATTACATGTTAACAAACGGTGTGGAAAGGCGGAACGTAAAGAGTGATTCACTTTAACTTCTATACGTTAGTTGCCAATGTATCGGATTAATTCGGTATTCCGATATTTAAGTAATGATTATATAAAAGTATAATTTGCGCACATTTCTTTCAACTTGTGAATCAATCCCTGTTAAATTTCTCGCGAGTTCGTAATTGATTAAAAATTGATTCACCTCTAGCCTATTAACAACTTTATCAATCTTTGACATCGTTGTTGCAACTCTTCTACAACCTTCACTTTCGGAAGGAAATAATTGTTTCAAGTCTTTGCGCCGAGATAACGATATTAGAGGTCTTTCAGGAGCTTCCGTCATCTTGTCTCGAAATTCACGTAGTACATCCTTAAAAGTTTGCGTATCTTGATACGGGAGTGCATGGACACTAGCTCCCTCGGTTAACCTCATTGCAGAGACCTTGTGACAAAAAGTAAGGAAAGAGTCAAAAACGTATTGTCATTCACCTGTCGTTCAATCACGCACGCGGTCAATCCAAGAAGAGTCTATTAAAAAGATTTTATTAATTCTCAACGATCGTTCATCTTTTAGATAATATGATAGCAAAAAAATGCCTTACCAAAGTATCGCTGGTTGTTCGATCTCTCGATTCGGCGCTAAACCGAGGAGAGGTATCTCGAAGAACGCTCAGAGCTGTCCACCTTCTAGCCTCACGTTCTCGAATCAATTTCATTCTGTCATGCTCCTTCAGCTCTTCCATTAACTCTGGCCTTTGATACGCAGGTAGATATTTCTTCAGCATAGGTATTTCCGGTCTCTTCCGAGCAGCCGTGTCATATTTTCTCCTTCCTGTTTGCCGCAACTTCCTCCGCGGTGGACTACAATAATGGTAATATATTTCCTATCCTTTATCGGAAAGCGTGCGTTCTGCATCGAGTACCTCGTTTTCGTAGGCCGCGATGAACAAACATCACTTGAAACACTACACGAAACTTGGATTTCATACGTATTGCTTTCTCCGCGACATCTGTAAAGAGCGCGTCAAATGTTTACTCGTTGCGTGGAATATTCGAATGAAATGAATAGTTATGGTATTTGATGGTTTGTTGAAACTCTTTAAAAAACCGAAGACAACGAGACCAGACCTCGTTTGTAAATTTGAAATCGCCATCGGCGATTATTATTCCGAATGTGATAATATTCACTTAACGCGATGAGCGTGACGCTCTCCTCGAACACGAGTCTCGTTTCTTCTTTCCGCAGTATCGCTGTTTCTTTAACTAACGTTGCCTCGTCGTCGCAAAATATTGGAGCAGCAATGTCCGATGAAGCGTCGTTACGCTCTTCTGCGCGAACGCATGTCCGCATCGAGTCTCTGATCTCGTCCACTTCGAAATACACTGTATCTTTCGACTGCAAATATCTGTAACAGAAGCACTTGAGTAAATAAAATATCGAGTCTATGCACAATTCCGACAGATGTCGTTCGCAGTTGTTTTTCCGCTCGCACATATGTCAAATATATGAAGTATCGTACATTAAGTGAAAGCTGAAATTTGTGCCATTTTAAGAAAGTACTCATCGAGATCCGTGACATATACGAAGTTTAATTATATTTTAAACATGGAAGGAAAAAACGTGAATTTTCGGTGCCTTTCGCTTTTTTATTTCCGAAAAGGTAAACTCACAAAAAGATATGTACGGAGAGAATGCCGTAAACGAAAGTGGTATCGGAAGTGGTTTGCGAAATTTCGTTGCGGAGATTTTGATCTCTAAGATGCTCCTCGTTCCGGCCAGCCAGTCACTACTGATGTCGATCAAATCAAGACTTTAATCGACTCCGACCGGCATTTGACGACTACGAAGACCGGACATAACCTCAACAATCAACTGTTTCGAGACATTTACGGAAGCTTGGAATGGCAGACAACACTTGATGTTTGGATGCCACACAAACCGAGCAAAAAGAATGTAATGGACCGAATTTCAGCTTGCAATTCGCTGCTCAAACGCCATCAAAACGGACCAGTTTTAAAGCGGATGATCAGTGGATTGTCTACAATGTCAATCGAAAAAGGTCGAAGCGCGAGGAGGCTGCTCAAACGGTTGCTGGATTACACCCGAAGAAAGTCATGCTTAGTATCTGGTGGGATTGGAAAGGAATCGTCTATTATAAGCTGCTGCCACCCAACAAAACGATTGATTCGACCAAGTACTGCTCACAACTGGCCAAATTAAAGCGAGCAATCCATCAGAAGCGAATTGGCGCACAGAAAGGGCGTTGTGTTCCACTAAGACCACACGTTTCTCTGATGACCCGGCAAAAGTTATTGCGGCTGATATGTTTTGGCGCACCCACCGTATAGTCCGAACCTTGCATCTTCCGACTATCACTTGTTCCAGGCGCTACAGAACAATTTGAATAACAAAACCTTCAGTTCCCTGGACGTTCTCAAAAAACACTTGGATGACTTCTTTGCCCAAAAATCTCAGGACTTCTATGAAAAAGGGATAATGAAGCTCGAGGAGAGATGGCAGAAAGTCATTGAACAGAATGGAACATATTTAGTTGATTAAAATCGCTTTTTTTGCAAAATATTTTGCGTTTGAAATTTACTCAATTTTTGCTACGGAATTATGCATAAACCCAATAATTGTGTCACACAATAATCGCACATATACGTGCGCACATTTCTTTCGTTCCTTGACATTTCTTTTGACATACATTATCAGGAATACCTTTATCTTACCTTGGTGATTGTTTCGTTGTTAGTTTCTTCTCGTAAGGATATTTCACATCGTCGATTCTCGCATGAAGATCCGATCGGCGACAAATCGTTCTACGTCGTGCACGATGCGAATCATAATTTCTGCTGTAAATATTATCTTGAAAATCGTCCCGATCTGAAATTTGCAAACGATCTACTTGCCGATCGTGCGCCTTTAAGAGCGCGCTCTGTTCGCTCTCTTTGTCGGAGGAAGACGTAGTGGAAGAATCGTCACGCTTTGTGTCCTTTTTAATGCAGATTCGTCTGTACGTTCGACCAGACGAGATGGATCGATCTCTCGCCCCGACTACTTTGTCGATGGCAGGCGATTTTCTCGCTCGCCATTCTGCGTTCTCGTTATTTCGATCGATCTTACAAAAAGGAAGAAAAACTATGCATGAACGCGCGACCAGAGAGCGCGCAAATAATTGATTAAAAGTTCAATGTACAGGTATGTATCATCGAAGTGAGAGAGAATGTCCGCGCTTGCCCGCGTACCGATTTCCTCCCGAGCCAAGGAATCTTCACGAACGCAGCAAAGACTTTTCTTACGCGACTTGGTCTCTTCCCTCGGACAATGCCATCTTTTAAGAGTAATTCCTCCGAACTATCATCCACCTCGATATGAACCCTTTCATCCACTTCCTCCGTCGGCCAGGATTCGGTATTCGCTATCGACGTAGACGAGCTGAAATGATCCGAACAAGATTTCCTCTTCGCAAGCGACTTCCTACGAGCTTTCACCATGAAACAGGACGTTGAATCCTCGCTACTCAAAGTCTCTTTCGTCATTGAGTCGTTGAAAATCTGTATTGAACGTTTACCGCTGTGATTATCGATTGGTTGGAGATTGTATGATCGAGGACATCAAGTCTCCCTCATTAGCATCAGTGATATTCAAGTTTGAATTCAAGTACTTCGATCGTTTGTTTCTTTCCTTATTAATTTATAGCGACCGACGTGCACACTTGCAGCAGTTAAAGACAATGTCGATGGAAAAATCTCACCTGTATAGTGACATCTTCTCGTATCTTTTGTGCTTCGATGTCTCTGAAGGATGCTTTACATTGACACTCGACTCGAATCTTTCGCGGCGATTCGTCTTGATAAGCTGCTCTCACGTAAGAGAATATCGATAATTACTCTCGTCAGCAAACCTCGTGAACAATTTCTGAGGTAAATGACGCTTTGGAAATTCGATTGGCACAAACCGACATTTAGATAGAGACACCGCGTCGTACGTACTGTAACTATAAAGCGAACTACTGCTATCCTCGACGTCATCGTCCCTCTGCACGACTTGATCTTTTTTTTCCACGTCTATACTCTTGTCTTTTTCCTTCTCGTCCTCTCCGGATAATCGTTCCACAGCTGGCTCCTCACCTTTTACCAATGATATTTCTGCAGCTAGTTCCTCTTGCTTGACTCTTGGTGCCAATTCTTTCTTCATAATCGTTGGATCGTCCGATGAATCTCTGTTATTCGTAAGTAATATTTTCTGCGCAAATGGTCTCAATATTTTCACTCTCAGAATAATTCAACTCGTAATTATCAAAATTTACCTTTCCTCGCTGATGTCCGACAAATCGCCGTATTCGATGGGCGACCGACAAATCGTGCAAAAATTCTGCAAATCTACGAAGCACCGTGTGCAAAAGAGACCGACGCAGCCGGGCGTAGAGCATTTAATATGCGGTTCGGAGCGTTCCACAGCACCACATAGCAGACACATGTTCTGCCTCTGAGGGAACAACTTGTTCAAGATCGGGCACATCGCCAGGCATCGCTCTCGAAACGTGACCTTCTCGATTCTCTGGTCGGTCATGCCGAACTTGCGGCGCAATTGGCGCCGCGCAAACTTGAGGAAACTTGCTCTCGATCTACACGAGTTCGAACGAGTCTAGATACGATTTGCACGTAGGAAATGTGCTTTACCAAAAATCGAACGCGTCAAATTGGAGAGAAGAGCTATTTATCCGCCTATTCGACGGCCGTGTCGTGCGCGTGTGTATGTGTGTGTGTGTGTCAGCCGCTCGTCGTTATCCGATCGATGATGCGATACCTAATAATATGATTATACAGCCAAGCGGCTCTTTGCTTGGCTCTATCCGGATGATATTTGCACATGACAACATGCCGCAGTCTCAATCCGTAAGGTTCGAATACCGCCATGATCCAACAGAGAACAATCAGCGTCGCAATCTGCGTATACCTGTCTAGATCGGGTGGTATGGGATCTGGCAGACAGGGTGTCGCGTCGATCTCTGTATCCTTGATACGCGGTGCAAAGGCTCTTACAATACTCTTGTAAAGATCGGCGAGATAGCCGTTGCCAGACACGTAGACGCCCACGGAATTGGGTCGTTGGACCTAGAGATCGATATACGTTCTGCCGTCATCGCGCGATACTTTTTCTTATCGTGATTATTCTACGTCGAAATATATCCGACTACTCTCTCGCTCGCGGCCCGACAGTCGATATTTCCGACTGCCGCTTTTCTCACGCCAAACTTGACTTTACTTTTCCTTACTTCCCCTTGTTCTAGTGTTAGCTCTCTCTCTCTCTCTCTCTCTCTCTCTCTTCTTCAGTAATACCAATATCATTTATTTAGAAATTATTTTTTGTTACGCCACGTCTAATATAGAAAGTAAATGGCGAAAATCTTCGGACAATCATTCGCGAATTTTTCGCAACGAATGAAAACTTGAAGAAAAATCATCAAAACAGAATCACTTCGTTTATAAAGTAATATCTAGAATACCTTTGTTTCGATCCGTCCGTGACGCCTGATGGTGTTGAGAATCCAATAAAGACTATAGTCTGCCATTATATACATGCAAATTTTCAAAGTCGCCAAACCCAAAAAGACGGCTGATTTGACGAGTTTTACCTTTTCCACTTTGATCAATGCGACGGACGTCAGTGTAATGTATTGATTTCTCTCGCGAGCGTTTAACGGTAGGACAGTTTCCTTGTCCTGACGCGTCCTTATTAAATCGATAGTGCGCAAATCATCGGTCAAGTATCGATTGTCGAATCGTTCGCTCGTTAGCCACTTGTATCGATAACGTATGATCCTGCGGAATGTTTCAATTTTGCCCAATACACGCTGTCTATAGTCGTGCGTTGTCGAAGGGATTGGTGGAGCGGGATTTTACCTTAGCAACATGAGTAAAATAAAAAATGTCGTGAAGAGACTCATCCAATCAAAAACGGCTAAAAACTTGTCGGTTCTTGATCGAACCTCACTGATTATATCGGTCGATATATCTTCGATGGTTTTACTTTGGTTCGTTTCCAAGTGGAAAGAGTGCGAAAATTTCACTTTGACATAGAACATCGCTCTTACATGGAGAGTAAACCTCTTGATTTCTGCGCGCACGCGCGAGAGAGAGAGAGGTGAGTAAAAATTTGTCGAATATATTATTCGCGATATTTTTCAAAGCACACTATATGAGCGTGTATAACGTACTTTTGCGCACAGCGTCGACTATAGTATCGGCTATGTAAGACACCATCATACAGATCAGGTCCAGAGGCTTCACTATATAACACAAGGCACCAACGATATACGCCAAATTGCAGATCCCACCGAAGAAAGGGCCAAGTTTCGCCTTGCAATCGGCTACTGCACCTTCGAAGACTCTCTGACACCTGTCGAACGGCGTGCCAAGTTTCTTGTTGCAAATATTCACGATACTGCCGAGCCATTGGAAAACCGACATGATCACTCTCACTGCGGAAAAATTCGGAAAACAGAGAGTCGATAATCGTTCGTAAACACGAGAGATATCTATTAGGTGTATAAATTAATTCGTAGTGCTACCAAACATCAAGATTTATTTATTAATGGTGTATAATTATCGAAATAATTTCCGTTATTATCAATGGTTTTCGCAGCTGTCAATAAAGTCATTGATAGATTTCCGAACGTCTTCTATAGTTTTAAAATGTTTGCCGATGAAATAATGTTACAACGACCGAAACAAGTAAAAATGTCCAAAGTCTGAAGTTTATAAACCGGATGTAACTTCCAAGCTCATATTAAAAATAGCATCTTTTATTCCTCTTGCCAGGTGGTGTGTTGTCGTGGAGCAAGTCTTCTCAAAATCTTCTCGAAATCGCTGATATCATTTTTTGCGCCGAACACATGTGGTTCAGCAACATTTTTTAAAATGCAAAACAGAGCACCAAATATGAACCGGCAACGGTGCTGCTAAAGTTATTATTGGTCATTTCTACGTGGTGTTTTGTAAACACAGCTCTTTTGAGCCACAACTGACCGGGAAAATATTTTGTATAATAATTTAGATGTAAAATGCTCATTATAGAAACGAGTAAGGGTACCGATTTGCACATTTAATAGTTGTTGTTGCACTCACATATACTGAACACGAGTCGTTTGATAGCCAGGAGAGTCCGCTTAATCTTCTTCACGACCACCTTTACCGTCTTTATCACTTTCGATATCGCGTCTCTCAGAGCGTAGAATGGCTGTTTTATCAAGTCGACTACGCTCTTTACGGCTTGCTTCAATTGCTCCTGCATACGAGCGTCAGTAAACGCGACAGATTAAAATAAATGTAGATATCGAAAGGCACTTATACAAGCAAGATTTTGCGGCGGTGGAGCTAACGATGATTCGGAGATCCACCGACGCCTGTATATCTCACATCGAATATGCGAATCCATCCGCGAAAACTCACCTGTCCGCAAGCCAAAGATTCCGACAGAACACTTATGTTGTGCAAGGTATTCTTCGCCGGTCCGGTGAGCGTTAAAATAAAAGCATAAGCCAGCAAGGCTTGTCTGCCACGTTTGGAAAAGAACTGTGGCAGTAATAGAAAGACGACGCATCTGCAGACGAGAAATATGACGGTTGTATTGTGTACAAATATTTTCGTTACTCCTCCATTGGAGCGGAGATATTCGAATTGCCAACGACGATTCGCGTCGTATGTTGTCGCAGAAATTCGCGAGATATTACCTTACGCGATAAGAAAATGCCAATCCAAGCGTGAGAATCATTCCAAGGACCGAGCAAAACATTGTGGCGGACGTGAGAGTAAAGTTCAGTTGAAATACAAAAAATATAAAAAATATATATGTGAGAAATATACCGCTCAAAAACCCGAAAGCACTCTTCAAAATGTAATTCTCGAGCGAACCGTCGGTACGAATCAGCCTTGCCTTTTTGTACACCCAAGTATACTTTATGGAGGAGATGATTCTGCTCCAAAAATGTTCAATCTTCTTTTTGTATCTGTGAAATTGCGGATAAAGATAACGGCGAAAGAGCGTGAATGAGTTGAGATAATGCGTGCAGAACACTGATTGTTAAATGGCGAGAGATTGGAGAAGAATTGTAACAGAGCTTTAGCGAGAGATTATAGGTATTCTTGGAAAGAGAATGAAGAGAAAGTTTCTCGAGAGATGTAATCTCGACGTCAGAATTGCAAAAAGTAAATATCGATTCGATGACAATTGTGAAAAATTAACGGCAGGCTCACTTTAATCTCTTTCGTCGGAGATGTTGTTTCAAGGTGACAGGCGGCTTGCCACCTCTGAAGATCTCGATCGATTTCAATTTCTCATCTTCATATATCAATCTATTCTTTTCGAGTTTCCTAGCTTTCAGGATCAATTGAAAAAACGCCATATTCTCAAGGACCAAACTATCCGCTTACGAACTACATATTAATTACGCTTCAACGTAACTTAAACAAAACTGAAATTCGCCTCAACAAATTGCTTTCGCTCGCGGAGATGTTGCGTTGTTTTTGCATCTTTGCGTCTCTTAGGTAAGGTTAACATAAGGTCTGTTCGTTTTCTCTACACCGTTGAACTAGTGCAATAAGTTGAAGTGGGAAAACATATACTTATTGCATTAGTTCAGCGAAAACGAACAGACCTATACACGTGAAAGGAAAGAAACCTCCTCCTTTCGCGCGTTCAGGAGAAGAGGTGACGCGATTTAAAGCATAGGCAGGTACAGTTTCGGGAACAGTTACCAGCAAATGATCACAGAGACGAACGTCGGCAGTTGAGCGGTCGACGATACCATGGTAATTCGCGTGCAAACACGCGCGCGAATAAGGGAGTTTATCTGCCGTGAATATATATCGTTAAAATTATGCAGGCATAGAGATTTTCGGGGTGCGTAAGAAGAACGGTGTATTGCTTCGTTTCTTCTCTTTTTATTTTTTCTTTCTTTCAAAAATTTCCAAAGAGCACAGGCTGAAGTAGCGGATTGTAGTTGCAAACTGGAGGTGCGCTCTTGTCGTAACGTTCTCAGTTACAAGCTGATTGCACGGAGGCTACCATGGATAGGTACATCTCGCACACGTTCCAGCGGATCCCGTTCGACGTAAAACGTCGCCAGTATCGATTCTTCAAAGAGGACCGCCTAATACTGGCGATATGTGTTGAAGCGAGACATCGATGTCACCCGCGCCACGACGAAGGTGGGCGTCGAGGTCGCCGGAGAGGGGCGGGCCGTATCTGAACCCGCGATAACGAACCAGCTGGCGGCAGTGCCGTCGTTTACGTGGAGGTGCGCTCGCTGCTGGTCGGATTCCGTGAAAGAACCGAAACTACGGCTCCGTGACCGCGGTATAAGCGCTCTTCCAAGAGAACGTTCTTCCCTCCCGCGAATATACACCCCGAAGAGGAAAAGAAAGAGAGAAGAAGGAAAGAAGAGAAAGGGAGGAAGAAAGGGGAAGAAAAAAGGGAAATAAACATGTCGTGAACGTCCCCAGATGACGTCCGAGATGTATACAAGCCGACCGAGTCGCTTATAACGTGTGCGGCTTTCGATCGGGCGACCAATGCCGTAGACGCTTCGTCGGCGTCATCGTCGTGGTCGCCGCCGTGGTCGGTGTGTGTGTGTGTGTGCGCGCATGTGTATACATGTGTGTGGTGTGCGACATACGCGTGTAATCGTGTGCTCGCTCCTGACCTATTCTACCTGATTCTGGACCGCTCGCGATGACTACGAGGGAGCTCTACGTTAAGGTATCGCGCGATCATTGCCGTGGTACCAGGTGGGCATCCCCGAAGAAGATGGCAGGTCGTTCCTATCGCGAAAACGCATGCGAGAACACTGTTCGAAAGCTTCGTTTTTCAGATCGGATCGACGCTGTATTTCAAGGGGATGTTTCGAAATACAATACGGTCGTTTGCTGCGAGTCACTGCGCTCGTTATGATGATCCTCTCTCGAAAAAATGCTTCGATTATATATTATATTATCGTGAAATGAAAAATTTGCAGGAACGATCGTTATAAGTTGCGCCGTGCGTAATTCAACACCGTTTTTACACAGTCGCTAAGCGTTAAGCGTGTAAACCTTTGACATTTCGAGTGAATGTATCTTTCTCGGGGTGTCACCAGGAACAACTCGGTCGGGAGAGTTGTCAACCCGTTTGAATTTCACGATCAATTCTTTTTTTTTTAGAAATGTGGACAAACAAATCTTCAACGAAATTTTGACGATGCAAGTTTCGATAGTAGATTCGGTTATGCAACAACAGAACCAAGCGCGAATTTTGCACTTATTATTTTATTTTAGCCATAATTGTGTCACACACATGTCGCATAAATGTACACATCTCGCAAATTAATTAATAAAAATTAATTGTTCGTTTATCGCGTGCTTGATTTTTATAATATTCTGAACTTGCGTGGAGCATAATCCATTTCACTCTTTCCACCTTTCTCTTCTTTTACGATAATGAATGTTTTCCCATATAACATTGAATTGTGTAGATTATTCTTCTCACTTGTAAAAAAAGAATGTTCTCTTCGATAAATCTCTCGCGCATCTTGATTTCGAGCACTGTCTTGATTGTCTTCCCGAAAGTATTTCATTGGAAATGTATATCATCCTCTCGAGTTGTTTCATTTTATCCCAGAATTATCCCAAGTTTCACGCGTTTGAACAGATACATTCTTAAATCTTGCCAAATGACAGCGCCTTTACACGCTATCGTGCGACAACATTAAGCCGCGCTATTGTTATTTAAAGCATTCTCCGAGTTGAATCGACCGAGCTTCGTACGATCGAGTGTGTACGCACAATTCATATAATGTCTTTCTCCGAAAATTTTCTGAAAAATTCTGCAAACTTTTCCTAGAAGGAATAATTCAAATTTGAATACAACTAGCACAAACTGAAGCAATTCATTCTTTCTCCATTTTCATATTTGTCCAAGTCAAAATATAGTTGACGCTTTGCCTTGGATTATTAAACAAGTCATATCAGCGCACGGCAGTTATAGAATGAAAGAGAATAAATACCGCTTTCTGCATACGCGTAAAGCGACACGGAGCGATTGTCGATTCTTTGGGATTTTTTTTCGAATCTAAAGTCAATAACTACCAAAGGGAGAGACCTCCATTACCGAAGGTACTTTGCTTCTGGCCTATACCAGATGATGATCGACCATAGAAACAGCAGGTTGTTTAGTGGCGATATGTTTTCCGATTGACGCATCTTTTCGAAACGTCTTTCCAAAATAACGAGGTGCAATCGAACTTTTATTTCATTAATAGTCCAAAACCCTTTAAAATAAAATGACTTAAGTAACATGGGACCCCACGCTGTAGTAGCAGCTACCTTCGTGTAGCAGCTGTCAACTGAGAATGATCGCTCATCGTTAATTTACTCGGGTCGTGAAACTGAAACAAATATCCAGTGAACGGTAATGGCTTTCGACATTCAAACGCAAAAAATAGAAAATGAAATTTTATCGCTAATGAAATAACGCTGCGAAGAGAGGCACAACTATCGGGATATAGCAGCAGCGCGTGTGATCGGGATTAGAAAGCGGTGACGAGCTTTGATTAGTGCGATAGAGTCTGCCTTTGGTTTATGCTATTCCCTTTAATCTTAAGCTCATGACGTTTCTCCACGCGTTGGTGGTTGATTCATCGATGTGACCGGATGAGGGTTGCCCGAGATCTGTTATAACAGGTTTTCGCTTCTTCGTGTCCGAGGGCGTCCACGCGGATATTGCGTATGTCTCTCTCTCGCACGTGTGTCACGTTGATCGCGCCAATTTCAACGAATCTATTTAGATTTTTTAAATCCCATGTCATCGACGACACGCTTTAAAGCAAGAAATTTATATAATCTGGAATATAAAAGACCTTCGCATCTATCTAGGAGAAAGAATAATATGAAACATATTCGTTACAAATGTCAAATGTTCCGTAGAGAGAGAGAGAGAGAGATAAAGAAATATTATGTTACCTGGAAGTAATTGCTAGAGTTTCGCAGAAAGTTGACTTTTAACCCGAGAAATCGAGTGCAGTGAGATTGTCTAAGATGCGCGATGTTTTCGAGATTACGATGGATCTCTCCCCTCTCCTTCGATCGGTCGTGACGGGTGAAATGTACACTCGGCCACGAGGCCGATCTTCTGGTCTCGATGGTGACGATGGAGGACAAAGAATGTGCAGCGCGAGATATCTTCGTATACGTTGGCTTTTCTGTAGCGAGAGAAAGGGATCGGCCGTAAGCGTAGTTTGCGCGATCGCGCCGATCGTTCCTCGAGTTGATCAGTCGAAAATATAAATCCCAGTTTACTTTTTAACGCGCAATACAAGTTTCTCGATTTTTCTTTCCATAAAGCAACGTGCAGAATGACATCGAATGAAATTTTCGTCGATAGCTCCGAGTGAAGTGATTTATTAGGTATCGTTGCTCGCTCGCTCGATGTGTTAAAAGAAGTCTAGGATGTCTAGGAATCATCCAAAACTATGCCTTTCTAACTAATCGCACCCACGCAAGTCTACCCCTTATCGGCGAGATTAGCACCGAATTTCGCGATGACGTTTTTCAGATGAGAGAAATTTGTATGCGATCGAGCGCATTTCGTAAGAGAAACGTCTCCTCTGTCGCGAAGAAACGTTTCCTGTATTAAATAATGCATTGCGTTGATCCTTAGTGGTCTCTCTCTCTCGCTCTTTCCATCCACGAGAGACGAAAGCTCCTCGCGGCAATATCCCACGAAAACATTCCGCCTTGCAAACGCGCGAATAACATCGCGCTCGAACCGGAAAGTTACGTTCTCACGGCCTTTCCTTTACGGAAATTCAACAAATAGAAATTTACCTCTGTTTTATCGAGAGAGCAGATTAATATGAAATACTAGATATATTTGCGTTTGAAATCGGACCGATACAACTAAGTTACATTTTGCACCGGAGAAATCCGTGACACAACGTGAATCACGCATTCCGGGACGGCTTCGCAGTGATAAGATTGCGATGCCCCCTCCATTTGCCTCTACCTAGGCTGAAATCGTATGAAATTGTCCACGACTTGAACTTGAGTCGCGGAACAAGTCGCCACATACTACGAATAAACATGTCGACAACACTCGTCCTGATAATATCCGGCGCACGATAATATCCGAACGATTAGTATCGAGGTCGCACACCGAGTAATTTGTCAAACAGGTGCACGTTTCTTTCTGCGCTATATTACTTCTTGGTGAAGTCATGACCAGGTGAAAAGAAAAGAAAAGGATAAACATACAGAGAAATGTTAACGCATAATCACATGCGAGAGAAGAGCCTCGTGTGTCTGAAATGCAACGGAAGCCTCAGTAGTTCGGTGATGAAGCTCAGATATTGCAACATACAGAGAGAGAGGGATCGCCACCCCAGTCAGAGGCGTTCGAGCTACCCTGTACGTTTGCATGTAAGAGACTTGCATTAAGTTTCGAAGAAATTACGTCGCCAACCTTTGTGTAATTGGAACATCATTAATTAATAATGAAAATGCGAGTGAGTGATAAAAGCGTGCATGTGATAAAAACTTTCTCGTTTTTCATAAGCAATATTTATTTACACCAATGAGTAACATAATAAGAAAAGATAATAAGAAAGGAGGCAATTGTGTTTTAAATTTATTCGTGTTAATTTCAAAGTGTTGAAACGTATGTATTGAAAAAGTTGTTTGTAAATCGTTATGCTGTAATGTTATTCCACACATGGAATGATGCTTATTCGCGAAAAAAACGAGACAACAAGTCTGTAGACTCGTGCTTCGCTCGGGAATATCGGATTACGAATGACGTAATTGCGCGCAATACACAATTTTCCGAGACGCGAACTCACGTCTTCGGTAAAAGATGTGGGAACCCGGTAGAGCTCGCGAGCGCTTTTTTTGTTCTTCCCGCGTGCGAGCTCGCTCGATGATAATTGCCGCCACTGCGCGGTATAGCTGCTGCAGATTACTCACATATATAACGTAGAAAGTATGGGAACGCCTTTCTAGATGGTTATGTCGCAACGAAACGAGAGAGCTAGCAGAGATGCGTATATTAATTCGTGTAACGACGAAGGAAGAATCGGAAATTTGCAATTTCAGCAAATACTCGCCATGGAATAATGGAGAACGAGTGAAAGGCCGTATCTCCAGCCAAATTAAGCGTATAGTTGATCGCGAGGTTGAATTGATCCTGGGATACCTCGGCATACTTTTATGCCGATGCATCCGTCTATTTTTTTTTTTCTCGAGCACTCCTCGTTTCGGCAAAAAATGATTATGTAATTAGTCGGTACAACATTGTTCTTTGGAGAGATCTTCTCGTCGGAAATGTTTTCACTGGCTTAAATCTATTCATCGTTCATACGACACAAATCGCCGTTTCTTGCACTTAATTGATTCTGTTGCAACTCTCTAACCGCCAATATAATCCGCAACTGTCTCATACCTCCAAATAGTACGTGTATTACATAAAAAAGGATGTCGCAATCTTTAGAAGCTCGATTACTCTGCCGATTTGATTGATATTAGGAATGATCGCACTTGAGTGGCTGATAGATTGACAATTTTAGTGGGAGTACCGGCAATACGTAAAATATGCCACGAGATATAACGCACATACGGTGTAATATTTCGCACATGTCGCAAGAATGCTTGGTGTTGATATACGGCGGTGTAAACACGCGTTACGAAACGTAAGAAACGAATCGATAGAGAAGACAGAGAAGAGATAAGAATTATATCGCGACGACAATTGCACCTTACCTGCTTACCATCGTTTTTACTCTTTTTTTCAAGCCGGTAAGCTCGCTGAAGCGGTATCTTGCGTAACTGAGCCAACGACACGCGTTCCGTAGGAGTGAAGTTCAAGGTTCTCGTATTTCGCCACTTTCTAAACGGCGGTTAATTGATTCGCGAGAAATTCGACTGTATTGCTACAATAACGTTAAAGTAAGAGGATAGAGCATTAAAATGTTTCACGCCTATTTCGTGTCGCCCGATGCGAATGAGGAGACAGAAGAATGACTTTGAGACCATAGGAAAAGATTTTGCGATCCAGTGGACCGCGCGCGCGCGCGCGCCGCGACTTAGAATAATACGTAGAGCGGCGAACAGAAAGAGTACTTTACCGTTGCTCAGCGTTTCTCGAGACGGGACATATTCGTAATCGTAGTTCACTGCTGATGTGAACGCCCGGTTTTGGCGGAAACGCCTTTACCGGATGTGGGCGCGAAAATATTTCTCAGACACATTTCGATAGACGATCAAGTTAGAAAGAAGAATCGTTAGCCGCGTTGCGAGACCGTGAATGAAACGTGATTACACGAGCCGGTGATTTGTGTACGAAGTTAAATGGCGCACATCCACCGTATAAATAGCGTACGAAATGATTATATTACGCGGCGAATTGGAGCGACCGTTTCTGTCGTCATTTCTGCTCTCGAAAAGACAGTCATCATCAGCCGCTACGAAGCGAAAAAAGAAAAGAACGAAGGGAATAAAAGATTCGAACGATGTCGCAACGATGATTTTCCACAATTCTCCCGAGGACAGTAATAAAATTGTTAACGAGAAATATCCGCGTTTACCCGTAGGGTGGCAGAGTATGGGTGCCGCATCCGGAAAGGATATGGGAAGGCGCCGTACTCCTGGAGAACTACAGGCAGAAACAGCCGAGCCTGAAGGTACTGACGGATGAGTCGAATGAAACGAAAACGCTGGAGATTCGATCGGACGTCGATCTGCCGCCGCTCCGAAATCCCGACATCTTGATAGGAGAGAACAATCTCACGTCGTTGTCGTTTCTTCACGAGCCCGCCGTCCTCTACAATCTTCAGGTTCGCTTTCAGCGGCACTCCATCTACACTTACTGCGGCATCGTACTGGTGGCTTTTAACCCGTACAACGAATTACCCATCTACGGTAATGACACGATATGGGCCTACAGGGGCCAGGCGATGGGCGACCTGGAACCCCACATATTCGCGGTGGCGGAGGAAGCCTATACGAAATTGGAGAGGTGATTAATTTAAAGATCTCGTGTGTGCGTGCGTGCGTGCGAAACTGTTAAATCCGTCTCTTCTCTAGAGAAAACCACGATCAGTCCATCATCGTTTCCGGTGAATCCGGCGCCGGCAAAACCGTCTCCGCAAAGTACACCATGCGGTACTTCGCGACCGTCGGCGGATCGGCAACGGAAACGCAGATCGAGAAGAAGGTCCTGGCCTCGTCGCCCATCATGGAGGCGATCGGCAACGCGAAGACCACCAGGAACGACAACTCTTCCAGATTCGGCAAGTTCATCGAGATCCAGTTCAACAAGAGCTACCACATCACCGGCGCCAGCATGAGGACCTACCTGCTGGAGAAGTCGCGGGTGGTGTTTCAAGCGAGCGAGGAACGAAACTATCACATTTTCTATCAGATGTGCTCGGCGGCGCGACGCCTCCCTCAGCTGCATCTGTCCGACGGACAGATGGGATTCCACTACCTGAATCAGGGCAAGAACCCCAGGATCGACGGTGTGGACGATCTCGCGTACTTCAACGAGACCGTGACGGCGCTGACGATGCTCGGCTTCACGTCCAGGCAGCAGGACGACATGCTGCGCATACTGGCGGCCATACTGCACCTGGGCAACGTGGAGATAGGCAGCCGCGCGAGCAAGGACGCGGAGGGCGAGGTCGACACCGAGTCGAGCTACATCTCGCGCTCGGACCGGCACCTGCTCACCATCTCCGAGCTGCTGGGCGTCGACATGAGCGCGATGCGAAAGTGGCTGTGCCATCGCAAGATCGTCTCGACCAGGGAGGTCTTCCTCAAGCCGATGAACGTGGAACAGGCGATCGGGGCCCGGGACGCCCTGGCGAAGCACATCTACGCCGAGCTCTTCAGCTGGATCGTCGCCGGCATCAACGAGTCGCTGCACTCGCAGCCGAGCCAGGCGCAACGCTTCATCGGTGTGCTGGACATCTACGGCTTCGAGACGTTCGAGGTGAACTCGTTCGAGCAGTTCTGCATCAATTACGCCAACGAGAAGCTGCAGCAGCAATTCAATCAGCACGTCTTCAAGCTGGAGCAGGAGGAGTATCTCAAGGAGGACATCGAGTGGACCTTCATCGACTTTTACGACAATCAGCCGTGCATCGACCTGATCGAGACCAAGCTCGGTATCCTGGATCTCCTGGACGAGGAGTGCCGGATGCCGAAGGGCTCGGACGCCTCCTGGGCGGAGAAGTTGTACGCGAAGTGCGGCAAGTCGAGGCACTTCGAGAAGCCGCGCTTCGGCACCACCGCCTTCCTCATCCATCATTTCGCCGACCTCGTGCGCTACGAGAGCGTCGGCTTCCTCGAGAAGAACCGCGACACCGTGATCGAGGAGCAAGTGGACGTGCTCAGATCCGGCGAGAACAAGCTGCTGAGGAGACTGTTCAGCGACGAGGATCCCAAGCTGATGGTGCCGCACGGCCACCGTGTCAGGGTGTCGGCCGCGCAGAGGTACAGCGAGCCGCCGAGCAGGCAGAGCAGGCGGAACAAGAAGACGGTCGGCTCGCAGTTCCGCGACTCGCTCAACATGCTGATGGCGACGCTGAACGCCACGACGCCGCATTACGTGCGCTGCATCAAGCCGAACGACGCGAAGGAGGCCTTCGAGTACAGTCCGGTACGGGCGGTGCAGCAGCTGCGCGCGTGCGGCGTCCTCGAGACCATCAGGATCTCCGCCGCCGGCTTCCCGAGCCAGAGGACCTACGGCGACTTCTTCCAGCGGTATCGCTGCCTCTGCCGCTTCAAGGAGATACGTCGGGACGACCTGAGGGAGACCTGCCGTCGGATCCTCGCCAGGTACATCAACGACGAGGACAAGTTCAAGTTCGGCAAGACCAAGGTGCTCTTCAGAGCCGGACAAGTGGCGTATCTGGAGAAGTTGCGGGCGGAGCGGCAGAAGGACGCTTGCGTCACGATACAAAAGACTGTGCGCGGCCTCATCCACCGCAAGAGGTACGGCAAGATACGCAGATCGGTCCTCGGGCTGCAGCGATACGGCAGGGGTTGCATCGCGCGACGGAAGGCCGAGGCGGTCAGGAGGGAGAGAGCCGCCGTCAAGATTCAGGCGCGCGTCAAAGCCTGGCTGCAGAGGCGGTGGTACCTGCGGCTCCGCCGCGCCGTTCTCGCCGTTCAGACGCGCGGCAGAGGCAACATCGCTCGCGCCAGGTACGGGATCATGAAGGACCACGCCGCCGCGACGGTGATCCAGAGGTTCGCCCGCGGACACCTCGTGAGAATCGCGTGCAGGAAGAGACTGCGGGACATCGTCGTCGTGCAGTCGTGCATCAGGAAGTACCGGGCGAAGAAGGTGTTCAGGCGGCTGAAAGCCGAGGCCAGGAGCGTCGAGCACGTCAAGTCGCTCAACAAGGGACTCGAGATGAAGATCATCACGTTGCAGCAGAGGATTGACGATCTGGTGAGTCGAACGAGCTGCGCGCGCGCCGCACACTCACACACACACACACTCTCTCTCGTTTCAGGCGAAGGAGAACCAGCTGCTGAAGAACGTTCAACACGAAATGGCGGACCTCAGGTGCAGGCTGGACCTTTTGAAGTCCGTCGACGTCGAGAACAAGAAATTGAACGGAGCGGTGCAGGACAGGGAGAAAGAGTTGAGCGAGATGCGAGGCGTCTTGCGACAGGAGAGGGACGAAAAGATGGATCTGTTGCAAGACAGAGAAAGGACCGTTCGGCAGAAGGACGAGGAGAACAAGAAGCTGCAGGAGGACAACGAGAGGCTGCGCAAGGAGCTCTCGCTGGCGACGGAGAAACTCAAGAGCAACCAGCGCGGCGCCGAAGAGAATCTCAAGTACCGGCTCGAGCAGGAGAAAGACCTGCTGTTGCTCGAGCAGGATCAGGATCGCGGCGCCTATCAGAGACTGCTCAAGGACTATCACGATTTGGAGCAACACGCGGAGTTGCTGGAGCAAAAGCTGGCGGTGCCGGGACACTCGCGTTCCTTGAGCAACGCTTCCAGCGGCAGCGGCCAGATCGCGTCCGCCGAACTCCCGCAAGATGATCAAAACGTCGTAAGAGCACTTCGCTTCTCGGTAATAATGCAATCGATCACACCCGTTCTCCTTTCCGCAGGATTTCGGCTACGGTTCCGTAAGATCCACGGCTTCCTCGTCGACGCTGTACTCTCGAGTGGAAACCATCGACTGGAATCAGCAACGGTCGGATAGTCCGCCAGACGGGGAATCGAACAAATCGATGATCGAAACGAACGACACCACGCATGCACGCGTCGACATCGGTCTTGTTCTCAAGCTGCAACAGAAATTGAGGGACGTCGAGAAGGAGAAAAGCAGACTGATCAGAACGGTCGAGGATCTGGAACGCGATGGTTGCGAGGAGTCTAGCAGAACGCAGGATTCGTTCAAGGTATTGTCTCACCTCGATGATGTTTCGGGCGTTTTCAGAAAAATATGTCTTGCTTCGCAGCTGCAGGAACTGGAAATGGAGAATGCGCAGCTTAAGAAAAATTTGACCTCGCTGCGGAAGACCGTGTCAGCCGGCCCAGCGTCCGCGCAGCAAAATCTTATGAGTAATTAATTCACCAACGTATCTCATTACCTCGCTTCTGCGTTATGAGCGTCCTCGACGCGATATCTTCTCTATATAGTCAGACACACGACGATATCGATAAACACCAGCGACATTTTTACTCGACGAACCTCCCTAAGTAGTTTAATCGCTACGTAATCAGTAATTGTCCAGGGCTTGACAAGTTTCTCGTACCTGTCCGCGTTGCACGCTCGACAACAGCGATAAGAGACAAACTAACGATGTTGTAGCGCAATTCGAAGCGCTGCAAGAAGAACTGGAAAGAAGGAGAGAGGAGTGCATTCAGCTGCACAGCGTGCTGGCCGACCATACGCGTAGGATGAAGAGCCTGGGTGCCAATTACGGACGCGACGTGGACATTATAAATGAGGACGGCGAGTTGGTGCTCGCCTTCGAGGCGCAGAAGAAGATCAATAGGTAATGTGGGACGCTTGCTTAACTGTACGAGTGACTACTAACAAAATCTAACAGCAGTCTTTTGTCGTTTGTGCATGCACTTCGATTTTCACAGTAAACTTAAGCGAAAGGCATCGAGAGGAGAGTGAGTTGAGCGGAGCCATTCGTTCAAACGGCTCGTTGAACTGTTCAATCGAATCGGGAGAGAGGATCACCACAACATCGCGTTTAGTAACATACGCGACTTTTCACAATTTCGTGAAACGATTGATTGAACAATTCAAGGTGTTAGTTGTGCGAATAATCTCACAAAGAGTGACGAGTCTCTGTCGTTTGTTCTCAAGACAACTGGAGGATGAACTGCAGGCCAAGGAGAAAGGTTGGCGATCGCAAAGGGACAAATGGAGAAACGAGATAGACAGATTGCAAGAGGAGATAGAGAGGCAACAAAAGCTGCTTTCCATTAACCTGAGCAAATCGCCGCAGACTCAGACGGAACTCTACATGCAACACGAGATTGCCAGGCTAACGTCCGAAAATCTGGTAAAACAGCACACCCTCTCTCTTATGTCGGCAGTTAAAAGGGAAGAAAATTATTGATCCCCTTTTCGTTCAAATAATCCTTCATATAAAACGTGTGTTGAAGGATCTTCAGGAGAAGTACGATAGAGTGGCGGAAGAGTGCCGACGCTACAAGAAGCAATGCAGAATCCTGGCGAAACGACTCAAGGATGCTGGCTGTAAGTAGCACACACGATCTCTTCCACCGCGGAAAATCAAAATATCGCGATATTTGGCGCGCGATCAGAAACGCGCCAATCGTCGAGTATTGCTTTGTTATTATTATTATTACATCGAGTGTCGTTTTAACAATGCTTTCAAAGACGAAGGAGACGATATCAAGGAACGTCCATACGTGTTGAGAGGTGCCGGTGAGTCTTAACGATCATCGTCTCATTGGGCTATCTGAGAAATGTGCTCGTGTTGGACGGCGAAAGATATACGCGCAAATTTCTCGGATAGTTGGTGACGTCGGCTGGCATCATCGTTTGTGCCAAGCACGCAAATTGTGCATTGCACCGAACATACAACACCGTGAATACAATTCGGATATATATACACGTATGTAAACGTTGCAGTGCCTAATCCGGTAGAGTGCACGAGTAGTGCCGTTTCCACCGCTTACGGCGACGGTGCGAGCAACATGCCTGTCATTCGGAAGAAAGAAAGGGATTACGAAGGAATGTTCGAATTCCGAAAAGAGGACATCAACGTGATAATACGTCACCTGGTGATCGGTGAGTGTATTTCTCGAGATTCCAACGTTTCTCTCTGTTCGTTCTTGTTAAAAGCGCGAATATTCGGCCGTTCCAGACTTGAAGCCCCAAATAGCGGTGAGGCTGCTGCCAGGCTTACCGGCCTACATCCTTTTCATGTGCATCAGGCACACGGACTGCGTCAACGACGAAGACAAGGTCCGGTCGCTACTGACCGAGTACCTGGGTGCGGTAAAGCGCGTGCTGAAGAAACGCGACGACTTCGATACCAGGGTACTCTGGCTGAGCAACATCCTGAGACTGTTGCACAACATGAAACAATATTCCGGTGAAAAGCCGTTCCAGATCGAGAACACGCCCAGACAGAACGACCAGTGCCTAAGGAATTTCGATCTCAAAGAGTATCACGACGTGCTGAGCAACGTCGCGCAGTGGGCCTTCAACAACATCGTGACGGGTCTCAAAGAGAGAATCCAGGCCCTGACGGTGCCGGCGTTGCTCGAGCACGAAGCTATATCCGTTTCCCAGTCCAACAAAGCCGGCCGACCCCGCTCGTCGTCCATGGGCGGCGAGCCGGACTCGACGCAACAGAAATTAGACAAGCTGCTCGATGAGCTCACGTCGGTACACAAGACTCTGCAGTATCACGGCATGGACCCCAAGATGGTGGTGCAACTATTCAAGCAACTCTTTTACTTCATGTGCGCGAGCGCTCTCAACAATCTGCTGCTGAGGAACGAGCTCTGTCGATGGACGAAGGGCATGCAGATAAGGTACTTTCCTACTTTAGTTTGCCCAACGATCGAGAGACTCAAACATTGAATTTCAGGTATAACATGAGTCATTTGGAACAATGGGGCAGAGACCGACGATTGGAGGTTGCATCGGAAGCGTTACAGCCCATCATACAGGCGTCGCAACTTCTACAGGCGCGCAAGACGGACGAGGACGTCAATTCCGTCTGCGAAATGTGCAACAAATTGACAGCCAACCAAATAGTAAAGATTTTAAATCTATACACGCCCGCGGATGACTACGAGAGCCGAGTTCCAGTCTCGTTTATCAAGAAAGTACAGGACAAACTGAAGGAACGCGATGAAAACAACGAACAAGTGAGTATCCTTTGTAAGCCAACTCGGACGATCCTCGGACGATCCACTGTAACACTGTGCTTCTTTCATTTTCAGCTGCTGATGGATGTAATGTTCTCCTATCCGGTGAGATTCCCGTTCAATCCATCGAACATTCGACTGGAAAATATCGATATACCTGAGGTGCTTCATTTGCCTATGCTCAAGAAGGTGTAACGAAATTCTACCATACCGTCTTTAGTTCTTTTCCTTATTTGCGAATGTCTAAACTTGCGCTTAATCCTCTCATTCTTAAACTTGAGAGAAAACTCGGCGATATCGATCGTTCAGCAAAGTTTCGTGTAGTAAACGCATCGAGCGATGTATATCACGTTTTATACGTTTCTTTTTTACTCGGCTGATTTATGATACGTTTATGATACGTCTCTCTCCGAATCGCGTTCACGCGTTTCGAGTCAATTTCGTTGCATAGGTAAACCATTGAAATGATTGAAAAAATATATTTTTCGTTATTGTTAATAGTACAATGTTGTACGTTGAAACGCGCGGAAGAAAGAGAGAGAGAGACAGAGAGAGCTACAAGTACAAAGTTCCTACAAGGATTTTCATATATGTTGTGTCAGATATTTCGCTCGTCAATGACATAATGCAACAGAATAGATTCAGAAAAGCGATCGATCACTTCCCATCCTATCTTGATCATTTTAATCATGATTGAAACATTTTGTAAATTTCTACTCGTTTAGTCGCCTATCGTGAACTCTTATGAGCACGTACATATATATATATCCATGAATCTGCTTTTCTTTCAATTAAATAAAAACGTGTTTGACCAAAATTGAAAATCACTTATCTCGTGTTTGCACATGTAATGCAAAGCAATTCTTGTAACAATTAAAAAAGTAACAACATTAAACAAACATCGATACTAGTCTAAGTTAAACTGTCGATTTATTTGTCCAACTGTCTATGTTACAACTGTAAATCCCTGTAAGAACTTGATATGTACGATAAAAGAGATTGTTGAAGATATGTAATTAATATGTAAAAAGAAAAGGCATGCAAAAAAGAGAAAAGATATAATGTTATATTGGAATAGAGATCGTATATTTTGTGATACGAGAGAGAAAAAGAGAGAGAGAGAGAGAGAAAACTATTAATAACAATTGGGTCCGGTACAGACAGAGATGGAAGAATGAAGAGAAAACGAAGGTGATCGAAAGAAATAGAAATATATATTGTTGTTNTATGTATGTATATATATATATATATATATATATATATATATATATATATACATGCGATTGTGTATTTTGTGCCATTTTACGAGTAGATTGTAACGATATCCGTTTGTTATTTCGTTCGGTCTGCGATCGATTTTGCGCATTACGAACACACTCCATAGAATGGTATCCGAAGAGATACCCTTCCCTTAAGAGATATAGGCAGAATATATTTACACAATTACACACACACCTTGACTCGATGTGACATATTTATTTGTTCCTACAGTGAGAATAAAATCGAAATAATGATACTTTTTATCCTATTTTTAATCGTAGTCGCAAAAGATTGGAATTTTACGATTAACGCCATACAGTCAACCAATAGGGGAGCAGTTTCGTTGGCCAATAAGAAATCAGTAGAAAGTGGGTTCTATGTCCCACGTGATGACAGTGCTGCTAAGAATGGACATCAAATTTTATTATGGCCTTACGATTACGGCATTTTTATATGCAAAGGTCTTTATTTTACTGGCCAGCCGACCAATCAACCGGTCATTTAGCGCAGATTTGGCGCAGAATAGTGCCAGAGCGAAGCAACAATGCTTCCCCCCTTTCGCGAAAGCATTTAATACCGGTGTATTTTCTCAGGGAGCGTATCGAAAAGACGGTGCCTATTTGAGTTCTTCAAGTAAGAGTTAAGGCTTACGCACAATGAAAAACAACAGGCAATAGTAGGGATGAGCCAAATCATCGATGTTTGAAAAACATCAAGGTTCGCTCATTGAGGATACGAGTTTGTCGGATAGAGAATTTATAGAGTCTTTAACAGTTTCTCTAGATGTAATAACATCCCCAATGAGCGAATATCGGTATTTTAAACATCGATGACTTTGCCCATCCTTAAGTAACAGAGAATGACACAGGCAATAGATTTCCAACCTATTATGTGCATTGTGATATTACGTTTACCCGATATTTAATAACAACCGTAGTTAAAACAGAATATTACAATGGATTTCCTGTGTGGAAATGCGCGCGAAAGATATGAAAGAAACAAAAGAGGTAGGTGTCAGATGTACTTTGACGCAAAGATCAAAGATAATATTTTAGGTATCACAAAATGTATATCCGTTTTATGAGTTACAAAGTTAGATTATAGCAAATCAAGTGAAACAATGCGATTCAACTAAATTCAAATTTTACCATTAAATTAAAATACAAGGTGTTAGAAATGCAGTACGTAGAAAGAATATGCGATATAACTTAAAACGAAATATTTCGTACAATGAAACATGTACGTAATAGGAATTACATAGCTCGTTTAGCTCGTTAGGACATGTCGCCGGCATCACTGGGCGAACGTATATCGTCAATTTTCAGGATCATTTTAACCAGCTGCGTGGCTAACAAAATTTGTTGAGTCTTGCTGGTCAGTGTTTCAATGACATTCTGCCTCTTCATATCTGCAACGCAAGTCGTGATCATTTCTATACAATGTACGAAACGTCTTGCGTGCGCGCGCGCACGTAAAAATCATTATACATACTCGCTGTGCCTCGATTTAAGCAATCAATACCGAGAGAGGGATTTCTCTCGTACAATTGACGCGCCTTGATTTCCGCAATGGTATCTACCGGCGAGAGACCAGCGTTCTCCGCAAGCGCCATAGGAACACTCTCCAAAGCTTCTGCAAAAGCACGAAAGGCGTACTGCTCGAGAGTGCTGATTTTGTCAGCCTGTGCCGCGCACGCCACCGCGCAAGATATTTCAGCCGCACCTCCGCCGTATAGGATTCTATTGTCCTTGACAACATTGCGCACGGTGCACAATGCGTCATGTATCGATCGTTTCGCCTCTTCGATGATCTATAGACGTAAAAAAAAAAAAAAAATTAACAATTACGATGCACACTGGAAAGTCTTGATTTGCTTAATCACTTGCGCTGGCAAGAAATTCACAGACGCGTGTGCCAGAACGGTCCAGTGTAACTCGCTGGGAGGCGTCACACAGTGTTCGATGCCTTAGAGAAATCGGAGAAAGACTTGTATCTTCTAAACTAATTTAGAATATAGGTTATATATTGACAACTGTACGCTATGCAGTGCAATGAGAATCAGGGCTCTGGCAAAGATGCTCAGCAGACGTGCCACGCACGTCGTTTCTGTGACAATTGCCTGACGACGTGTATACCACCATCGTTGGCGATTTTGCGACAAAAGCATTACGACGTGCGTAGCACGTTTTTCCAGCGCAAGTGGTTAACGGTAAATGAACGTATGTCGCATTGCAAAAAGATTCAGTTCGAACAAAGAGAGTCGAACATAGATGTGTATGTAAACACATTTCTGATAATTGCGATGCATTAATGTCGCAAGGTGTCTGATCAGTCTGCACATTATAAACGGTACAACTGAAATTCTCCTTGCACACACAAACATTATTTTTATAGTAGCGATCGTTACCATTTTGTTGCCACCGCGAATAAAGATTGTGACGGCACGTGAATTTTTGCATTCTTCGATCACCAACATTCGATCCTTCGTCGTACCGAACGTTAATTCCCTAACAACACCAGCATGACCAAGCTTTTCCGGCGTCAGCTCCTCGAAGCGCGGCACAATGCGACCACCGGTCGCAATGGCGATTAGCTAAGAAAAAAATCCAATTTCAATCCCTCCTATAAATGTTAGTTGAAGATCCTCAATTTGAGCAACAAAGTTACTTCAGATCTCATAATCTTTGAATCATTGGAGCCACCGCGAAAGATAAATCACTGGCGCGCGATCTAATCTCGAAAATATTTTTACCATTTCTTCCGCAAATTAGCGTAACGTTAAACTTGCGAAGAAAGATGGAATACTGTCGAGATTGAGACGAACCAATTCCTCAAGCTCTCGCACCTCCTCTGGCATTTTGTGTCATCATTAGAGAGAACATGACAATTGTACAACTATAAGATTGCACACACTAACTTCGATCTCCGGGCCGCCAACCCATCTTACGGCTGGCAAATTGTTCTGCAGCAGAAGATGATTGGCTTCGTCGTCGAATCCCCATTGACAAATAGCCAACGTCGCACCTGCCTCTTTCACCTGCTTCACCATTTCCGTAAACTTCTCGCGCTCATAATCGCGCAACGCTCGATAATCATCGACCGAAGTAACATCCAACTTGTGCTTCGTCTTAGGTTTCGGCGGTTCAAACGGACAAGTTAGGATGGCCAATTTCACATCTTCCAGCCTCTACAATGATGTTAGGTGATTAAAAGTTGACGTTCATTTAATGTAAAATAAATGTTTGCAACGTTTGCAAACCTTTGGCATCTGAGGATGACTGAAATCCTTGTCGATGACAACACCGCGCACCAACACGGTATCTTCCAACCTACCGCCAACTTTTCCCTCTATTTTGATCAGCTCGAAATTAACATCGCGCTTGACAGGATCCATAACTGCTAGTACAGCTTGCACTGCAATTTCTGCCATTTGCCTGTGATACTTGTTAATGCTACAAAATAAATGAAATTAATAAAATTAATGAAATGTAAGTGCAAATAAATAATGTATATGACTTTCTCGCAAAGTTTGTGTTTGTTACATTTTTGAGCCGAGTGATGTCATAGCGATGTCGATATAAGGCTCCAGATTATCCGGTGTTCCTTTGAAATTATCTACAATTGTCTTGAGATGATCGGTAGCACACTTGGCAGCCAATTCAAAGCCATCCGCTATCCTAATTGGATGGACTCCCTTATCCAATAGTTGTTCAGCCTGCTCCAAAAGTGCGCCAGCTAAAACCACTACTCCGGTAGTGCCATCGCCGATCTCATCGTCTTGAGATTGCGACAGTTGTACCATCAACTTGGCAATCTCATGATCCACATCCATATTCTTCAGGATTGTAGCACCATCATTGGTTACAGTAACATCTCCATCGGAACTGACCATCAATTTATCCAGGCCCTTAGGGCCCAGAGATGTTCTAAGGATATTAGCCACGTTACGAGCTGCCAAAATATGCGACTGCAATCGAAATACTTTTCATGTATGAAACTCGATGTATCAATTTATTACTTAATTAACACGTTCCGTATCAGACTAGATTTTATTTCAAACAACATTTATGATGATTATGTCTCGATTTGTAATTAAAATATCAAATAGCCTGAATGCAGAAAGATCAACGTGAACTACTTCTGGTGGGCTTGCTTAGCAAAGAATGCATTAAACATTTTATACTTGTTCACAATGTATAGCAAGTATGTATGTCTAAACAGTATTTAAATATATACTAATTTTTTCTTTTTGCTTTGCAATCTTAAAACTACTTAAAATATTTATTTTGCAATCAAACAATGGAAAAATATATAAGAATCCAGAAGGATAAGTATAATGTCAGAAAACTAATTGATAATTGTACCGCATTTGATACTAGCAATGCGCACAGCCATATATATTGCCTTATATGGTCACAAATTACGACTTGAAATAATGAGTCCGTCAAACGTACTATTTGTAAAAAATAAGAATCACTTATCACGGATTTCAGTATTTCTACATATTTTAGGCAACATTATAACGAAAACCTTTCCACCTTTCCTCGAAACTTATCCCGAATCTTTTTGCCCATAGCTGAGCACTATGCGCCGCCATTAAGTTGCAGTTTCACGTGGTCGACCTTTGAAGAACTATAAAATGATCAGTAATAAGGAGATCGAGAAAACATTTCAAATGTCATTCACGTGAGAAACTCTACAAGGCGATTCGGGAGGACGTACGATGTGAGGCGGTCGAAATTATTAGCGCTTGCCTTACCTTAATCGCATCGTGACCGGTGAGGCGTTGCTGCTTCTCCTGGTTGCGGATGATAATGAAAGGCCGGCCGTATTCGTCAAACGCCATCGTTCCCGGTATCGCAGTCATTTTTGCTAGTTGTGTATCAACAACGGACTCTGTGATCGGTCAACGAGAAACAAATCTAGTCGGATCGATCGTTCGTTAATCTCACGTTATTCTACGCAACCATGATTGTTACTCGCCTGGCGACCAAACGAAGAGGAACAGGAGGACGATATGAAAATTCAACAATCGAGATTGGCCAAAACGGTCACGGCAGCGTCATCTTTACCGTTCGAAACAAAAGGTGGAGCCTGCGTCACGCTGCTCCGGAACGCGTAAAGATAGAACATGATTGGTCTATATGCGCTTCGGAGCATTTGCAACGTCAAATGGATCGCATCCATAAGATGCGTTCCACTTAACGCTCGCAACGATCGCGAGCATCATTCTATTCTTGTTTCCCTTGGATATTCATATGACGAATACTAGAACTACACACACGTATGACTGGCACGCTCTCGTTGCAAATTGCCTTCGAGTTTGTTCCCTTCGGATTTTCTTTTTTTATGGTATATAATTCCACGTCAAGTCGGATAAATTTTTATTTGTGACTCAGGTTGAAAATAATAATAATACTTGATCATATCCGAATAAGTATTGCTAAAACATAATGCCTCATCAGCCGTTAAGCTGTAACACGATTTTCATCGAAAACGATTAGTGAAGCAGCGGTCATAGCGGAGATTTTGGAACTACATTTTAAGATGATTTTTTGGGAGTCGCTGATTCGTTATAAAGACCGTACAAGATACGCCATCTGGTTTAACGAGTTGAAATTTCGCTCAAATCTGACCTGTTACGATTAGACCCGTTACTTTCATCACTTGAAAAAATTTCCGCTACGAGCCGCCACCATTCCTACTGCGCCGTGATCATTTTCGAGAATACGATTCAACACGATGAACGAGTATGACGAATCTGCTGTTTGGCGATATCGATGAATTAACGACAGGTGAGCGTTGGTCATTCGGTTGTATTCATTTTGTCTGCGCGCAGTAACAAGATGCAGTTGAGGAACGCACAGTACGCGGACCCAGCTGATCTAACGGTATTTATTACTACGAATACTCGGGTAATATAAACTTTGACACCGCGGGGTATTGCGCAGGACGATAATTAAACGAACCGTCGGTTGTTCGCCGGCAGAGAAGGAAACTGTGGAAACTGCTTCGGAACGAGAGCGGGCAAGCGTACGTGCACTTCTCGACGTGCATTATCTCACTCTTTCCCTCCCTCCCCGCCCCTCTCTCTCTCACTCTTTCTCCTCTCTCTCATTGCGCCTCCGCGCTCTACTTTCTCGCCCCAACTCGCACTAAAAGGCTCCGTAACGCGGGTTATGGCTTCAATATGCAGTAAAACCAGGATAGCCGGTACGTACGTACAGCTGCATGCCCGTGCTTAAAGCGCCCCTTTCGCTCTCCTCGTCCTACGTAATACTATGTAGCATTGTATCCCGGGCGGACGCGACGCTCGCGGACCGCGTGCCCGGCTGGCGAAATAAACTGATGAATAAAAAAGGAAATAGGTACTACGTGTGCGTGAGGGGCGATCGAGGAGCGGAATGACGCGCGCAAGGAGAGGATCGCGTGTCCGATAAGAAACATCTCGCGAACAATCGGTCGATTAGATTACAATTTGGCGCGACTGAACCTGTCGTTATGAGCGACGCGACGAGATGCCCAAGATGATAATCTACTGGCGAGAAACGTCGCCGAATTTCCGGTAACTGTGTGATGTGTAACATATGCGATCGTTCAAGGAAGCGTGACTTTGGTGGTCGAAATATTGGTCGCGCGTGTGCAGCATACCAAGAAAGAGTTTCTCCTTCTCGATGTGTGTGTAAAGACTGTCTCGCCGGTTTCTCGGAAGCAATTTCGCCACTGGAAAAGCGTAATTACCGGTTAGATAAACCGACGTCGTCGGAAACGCGCAAGTGAACATTGTTCGATGAGCAACGAATCCCGCATCCTGTTGAAGCTAAACAAAAAGTCGCGTCCTACAAAAGCTCCGCGAAATGTTGTGGAAAATAACGATGACGAGCAATAAAGAACAAAACGTCGCGCATATGTGATTATAAAGTTCAATGAATACATTAGCGGAAAAATGCATAAATTACAATTACTACACAATCGTGTGTACTTTTCTATTGCCCGATTTCAGCCGTGGAGTTTTAGACGTAACTCGACAGATGGCGAACTGATATTGTAAACTGTTTAACATATTTTCGAGTATTTGTATTTTTTTTATATTTCGTTTTGTACAATCTCGATATTTTTCCGGCTCGTTTTGATGGAGGTTTCCGTCAAAAAAAAAAAAAGTCAATTCTGTGCGCACGATCTCTCGTGGAGGACAAATTTTCCATAAAAAGTTTTGATACACACACAACAAGTTTAATGAAATATACTTTACATAAAGATATGTATAGCACGATTTTTCGCATCGGCGTTATCAGTGGGTTCGTCTGGAAAATGTAAAATCTAAATAAAACTCAGTCGGAGATGGTTTTATCAAGCGACAGACAGCTACAACTGGTAGTCTCGCGAGAAATGATAGCGAAGAACGATAGCATTTGCGCTCGGCGACAAATATTAAGTAATAGTAAATCTCTCTCTCTCTCTCTCTCTCATCTTGAGAAGGGCGACTGATAAAGAAGTATTGATAATCGATACAAATGGTACCGCGGCAATGTTTGAGCGATCCTGTGATTCATTCAAAAATCACGCCTGATTAAATTCGACCTCACCCTCCGTTATGATACGTTATGGGAAAGGAAAGATGGATAAACCGGTTAGAGATGAGAGAAAGCTCCGTCGATACTTTCTCGAATGAAGCGATTAGAGACCTTTTTGTTCGTTCAAGCTCACGTAAATTAATAATACGACACGTTTCAATTGAAGGAAGGTCCAATTGTCAATATATTTGCCGAATAAACATTTAAATGCATGGAGTTTTGCAAACGAGTCACGGAATTGCGATTAAATGACAAATCTGATCGTTATCACTCCGCCACTGGCCACGATCTTGCCCTAATCAACTGCAACGAAAGTCAACCAGTGTTTTCGACATTTCGACTCCACTTACTTTGTCCCCGTTATCTTATCTTATCGAAGCGACAGGCCTTGAAACGTTTCTATTCAGAAAATTCTTATGCATCGAGCGTACAATTTCGCACGTCGCGAAAGAATACATCGATGGCGATTATTTCCGCCTCACTCGCTGCCGTTTGTCTGCTTTTTAACCTTTTCCTTTTTTCTCCTTTTTTTTTTCAGAGAATCGAAGCTAAATATTTATATGAAAAAGTGTGTTTCAATATTTATACGCGCGTGGATATAAATATCGTTACATATTTATATCTACCGCACGTCCCACGCTCTTCGCGAGCGCGCTCGATTATCATTTCATTTGGTCGCAACGCGATCGCAGCGACCGCGTTACTCTTTGCGCCACGTTGTTTTGTTCGCTGAACACAAACATGTCTTATGGTCAATGCGATACAGGTGTGTTCTGGCAGAAAGTACGAATCTCACAGGCAGAGGATATTCGAATTTCTTTAAGAGCCCCTTCTGTCCGGCATCGACGAGGCTGGAAAACCCACGCATCTTCTCCCACGTGTCTACCGCAACCCGAGGAGGACATCCTCCTCTCGGGAAGAGATCAGTGGAGAAGGGGAAAGAAATTCCATTCGTATATACATACATCGGCCGTCGACTTTTCGCTAGCTAATTTCGATAATGTTTATCGAGATTTTAGGAATCCGGGAGTTTGGAATTCACGTGTCGTCGAAGCAATCTGAATTTCTGTCACTGTGTATGTGTGTGCGTCGTACAGTGTCGCGGGCAAATCCTAACGTTGAGTAAAGTCCAATTACACGATCCATCTCGATTAATCATTCGTGATCTCTGTTATTACTTGGTCCTACTTGGTGTACATCTATTGAGTAAAAAATGTGGCAATAAAGATGGCTGCGTATCGGCGGGATTAAATGATTACGTTACCGCAGGTACCTTGGAGCATAAATCAACATGCGCGCGCGAGCGCATCGTTAGGACGAAAGAATAGAACGCATCCTGTGTTTGCGGAGACCGCAAGGAAATCCCGTGGTGTCACAGTCTATCCATTTTCCTCACCGCGAAAATCGAAAGATCGTTAATTGTAATTGCGCTCTCGGATCGAGTATATTCTAAGAAAGCCCCTCATCTGCCAAATTGATGCCGATTCTAGTGAAGTAATGGTCGCAATTGCAAAGAAAATGATGGGATTTTTGTCGAAACTTTTCTTTGTTGGCGCCGTGATAAACCTGTTGAAAGATATCTCGCCATGATATAGCGATTGGCCTCTCCTCGACTAGAAAGATAACCATCCGTCCACCTTCCCCTGTAATCTCAGTTCTTCCGCTTTCTCGAGCGAAAGAGAGAGAGAGAAACGCGATACAGGGCGACCGTGTATATACGCACGTCCTTTATCTTTTGAAATCCACACGTAGATGTGTCCGATCGGTTTGATCATCAGTTTGGAGGGTAACACGGCGCGGCGTACTTCTCAAAGGAATTTCATTCTATACTCTTTGTTCCCACGCTACTGCACTTTAGCACGCGCAATAGCACGTATAGACGACGGAAGAGGAGGAGGAGGAAAACGTGGGCGTGCAAGGTGTCGCTGTGGCTGCCTACATAATCGCAAAGAGTCCGTAAAGCGGGGTGTTAACTTCCGTCATCCTCGGGATAGCGGGCGCGCGCGAAGGGGTTTGTTTAACGAGGGTAGCTCGTCTCGATGCGTCGTGGCTGTAAAGGATTATTATTGCATAAAAATGACGCGAGCCGCTAGTTTCGGCCAGATTAGACGCCCCCGCTTTTACGTGAGTCTCTTGCATATTTCATTCGCATCCCTGCGATCATTATTATCGCTGTAATCCTCCTATTAGAAAATTAAATTGAATCTCGACCGCCAAGTTGAATTTTCGCGACATTTGCCGGAGAACATGACAGCCGTTCTCGTCGTATTTGCGACTGGCAGAGTATACGTGCCCACCGGACGCCTTTCCATCGAGAGTTGGCGGTGAAAATACCGTAACGCGCGACCGCTATAGTCTCTTTGGAACATGGATGAAATACCAAACCCTCGAATTCCACACGATCAAATATATTAATTTAATTACCCCC